AATAGACCCTGATTTGGTAGAATTGTTCTTAGATCTACCAAAAGCTAAAGATGTTTGGGAGAGTGCAGCCCAGATGTATTATGATACGTCTGATGAGTCGCCGATTTATGAATTACGATGTAAAGCAACCCGTATTACTCAAGGAGGTCGCAATATACTTTGCTGAGCTCAAGAGCGTTTGGTTGGAACTTGACCGTCATTGTCCAATCAACATGAAGTGCCCTGATGATGTGAAAATTCGACAGGCTAAGATTTAGAAAGACCGTATTTATGATTTTCTTGTAGGTTTAGATGATGAGTTTGATAAAATTAGAGGAGATTTGTTATGATTGAGTCCATTGCCCAAATTGGAGGAGTCGTTTGCTTTTGTCCTTAAAGAGGCCCAACGCTAGGAGACGATGCTCAAGAAGAATGGAAAGACTGAATCCTCTGTTGTAATGGTTTCCAAAGCCCTTGCTGCTAGTTTTTATTTTCCTTGTCCAACCCTTGAGGAAAAAGAAAACATGCATTGCACCTATTGTAATGAAACCCGTCATACAGAGGCCAGTGTGTTCACAAGAATGAGTTTCCGGAGTGGTTCCTTGAACACTTGAAGCAACGCAAGGCGGAGCAAGCGAAGAAGAAAAATGGTTGGAGCGGTGTAGCTGTTGTCGTAGCCGCCGGCTAGCCTTCCGCCATTTTTCTTCACCTAGCAATCTATCATGATCACGTGTCAACCAACAAGGAGAGATATGATAGGTTAACGGGAAGATTAATTTATCTTTCAAACACTAGACCAGACATATAGCATATGCAGTTAGTGTTGTTAGCCAATTCATGCATTCTTCTAGTAAGGATTACTTAGCAACAATTATGAGGATTTTAAGTTATTTGAATAAAGCTTCAGGCAGAGGCTTGATATTCAAAAAATTGGGACATTTGGATGTCAACGGTTATACAGATGCAGATTGGGCAAACAATACAATAGATAGACGTTCTACATCAAGTTACTTCACTTTCGTTGGGGGTAATCTGGTTACATGGCGCAATAAGAAGCAAAATGTAGTGGCTCGATCTGCAGTTGAGGAAGAATACATGGGCGTGGCACATGAAGTTTGTGAGCTTCTTTGGCTAAGGATGCTCTTGTCTTCAATTGATTTTCCCCCCAAGAAAGTCATAAAACTTTACTGTGACAATCAAGTTGCTAGGGAAACAACAAATAATCCAGTTCAACATAACATAACTAAGCATGTGGAAGTGGATAGGCATTTTATCAAGGAGAAGTTGGTAGAAAAGTTAATAGATATACCATTTGTAAAGTCACAAGAACAGTTGATGGATGTCTTAACATATGCGGTGTTGGCAAAGGATTTTCATAACTCACTTGACAAGTTGGGGCATAAAAGATATATACGCACCAACTTGAGGGGGAGTGTTGGTGTGAGCCATAATTTAGGGATCTCGTGATCCCTAATTTCCTGATGTAATTCACGTTACCTAATTAGAATAGCTACCTAGTTAGGATTCTTTATAATTAGCTAATTACTCTTCCTTGTATAAAAAGTCAACTTGTACTATATATATATCTTCCTCTTAAAAAAATATATATATAAATCATAATTATTCAATTATTCAATCGTATGATTAGTTTGAGTGTTTCTTCCATCCAAAATTTAACACTAAAATTGGAGAGAAACATTAGCATATGACAATGATACGAAACGATCATACGTAGGGTAGGATATTGGGAACTTGGGTGGGTGACAGTTGACTTCGTAAATCCCATCCCATAATGTTCATGAATTCTGTTGTGTGTGTATATATATATGTTGCCAATTAATTTCAAAGATGTATATATAATATAGTAGGTGCGTATATATGTTAGGTCAAGTAAGAAATAATAATCTACATATATACCAATTAGGAAAATAGGAAACCAGTATTTGAAAACAATGAGACCGACCGAATCTCTGAAATTGGTTTGGTGGGGGTATTCATATTAATTAATGTATTTATGTATATATATATATATATATATATGTGCTGAGCTGCCTGCTATCTCTTTTCTGTGCCCATTCTTTGTGCTGTAATTTGGCCTTTTCTTTTGTTCATACATTTTGTTTCAGTCTTGTTTGGTTTCATTGAATCCAAGCTTGATCTGAGAAACAAAAGCTCTTTGGGGTCGTGCGATTGGAGAGCTTTCTTGTTGGATTTGGGGATATGGGAGTGTGATCATACAATGGTTTGGCGAAAATTTGGGTAATTCTAAAACAGATCTTCTTTTATAGATCTGCTTTCCTGGTGTCATGCATACCTTTTGTTATATTTTTCGTATGTTTGTGATCTCAAAAGAGAAAGAAGGTTGGTCATTTTTGATATCACCGGCGCTTTCAAACCTCAAAAGGTTATAATATCGAAAGTGGATTCCTTTCATGGAAAAGTGAAAGTGGGCGTGTTTTGCTTAATGGTGGATGCTCTTCTTAAAGATTGGGTGCTAAATTCAAGTGTTTTCTGGGCAAATTTGTGGCAATCGGATTGCAGATTGTAGTTCAAGTGGATTAATCTGATTAGCCAGGCATTGAATATACAAGGGTGTTGCTCAAAGATTGTGATCAAACAAAGATTGATATCAGAGAGAGAGAGAGAGAGAAAGTGAGTTTAGTGGATTGATTGGTCACTTAAAGGCCCTGATTTTGAAGGGCGTTGGGGTTATTAGGAGAATTTCTTACGGATCCGTCAATTGAAAATAGGGGGTCGTATTGCTCGGCTGGTCTGGAGTGCCTACTAAACATAATCAGGGCCCTGAGAATGGGTTCCTGCTTGTCTGCAGAAAGCAGGAGCCCTCTGCCCGATTCGCCGTCGTCTCCCGCCTGGGGAGTCAGGCGGCGCAAGAGCACCAAGAAGAAAATGGGCTCTCGAAATTCTTCCTTTGATTACCGCCGGGAAGAGCCGCTGCATAGGATTCCCGGGAGAATGTTCTTGAATGGGTCAAGTGAAGTTGCATCTTTGTTTACCCAACAGGGCAAGAAAGGGACCAATCAGGATGCCATGATTGTTTGGGAGGTTAGCTCTTTCTCATAATCTTTACTTGACTCTGATTCGATTAGTTTATTACTTTATTAGCTGCATGGGACCCTTATATCCATATGTTTATCTGATACAATAAATTCTTAGTTTTTTTTCTACCAAATATTGTAATTTCTTATTTTTATCTTATACATAATACATTGAGCGTCATTTAGAAACCAATTTAATTAACTTATTAGTACTACCCTTTAGGGGTGGGCACAGTCCGAATTGGATCAGTTTCACCTCAAAATTAAGGCCGAACCAATTACAATATGACAGTTTGGTTAGGTTTAGTTCGGTTTGGATAAAATTTATAAAGGAAGCTGAATCAAACCAAACCAATTTAAGACGGTTTGGTTCGGCCGATTTGGGCTTAAGCCCAATTCTCTTTCTTTTTGCATTTTTCCAACATTGTTAGCCCAATTATAACCAATAAATTCACAACTTGCTTCATACATAAATCATTTTCTAGAGTACAAAACCATCCTAAAGTTCAAAATGTCACAAAACTTTATATTTCACTAACTAACATAGCTCAATTCAAATATTCATATATAGTTATTAACTAATTAGAGATTACACATGTAAAATTAAATATAAATAAATAAATATGCACATAAACGGTCCGGTTTAGTTTAGATCGGTTTACAAAAACTCAAAATCAAACCAAACCATATACGGTCCGTTTTGATTTTTCAACAATTTGACTTTTTCTTAGTCAAAATCAAACCAAACTGATAATTATAGTTTGGTTTCATCGGTTCGGCCGGATTGATGCCTACCCCTATTGCCCTTAGTATGAGTAAAAAAGTATCGTGAATTTTGATTGAGTACGGATAAAATTATTGTTAATAAAATGGCAAAGCTTTTCCATAAAAATGTGCTATTTCCATTCTAAGCCAAGCCATCGTTCTCTAATGATTTCCAAACCCCAAGGTACATTTTATTTATTTATAATTATATAAGTTTATGAATGTGACAGAGAAAGTTTCAATTCCAAAAGTTTAACCTCTAGAATAGAAGAAATGGAGAAGTGATACCTTTTTTTCATCTCTCGCTCTAAAAAAAGATTAGTTTTAGTAGTTTTGTTTGTTGCATTCTCTCTCTCTGTCTCTCTCTGTCTCTCTCTACAGACTCTTCCCTCGGTTTCTCTCTCCAGAAAGTCAGGTCGTATTACAAGAGCGGGTTTTTTTGCAATCTTTTATATTTCAGTTGCTGTTGGTGGTTGCGATTATTTCTCACATTTAAAGTCTCTCTCTTTGTCTTTCTCTTTCATTTCCTCCTCTCTCTAAAATTGGCTCTCTACCCACTTCCTCTATTCTGATAACCTTCACAAAGATGCTTGCTTTATGCAAGGCCGTGAGCTGAGCTGCCTGCTATCTCTTTTCTGTGCCCATTCTTTGTGCTGTAATTTGGCCTTTTCTTTTGTTCATACATTTTGTTTCAGTCTTGTTTGGTTTCATTGAATCCAAGCTTGATCTGAGAAACAAAAGCTCTTTGGGGTCGTGCGATTGGAGAGCTTTCTTGTTGGATTTGGGGATATGGGAGTGTGATCATACAATGGTTTGGCGAAAATTTGGGTAATTCTAAAACAGATCTTCTTTTATAGATCTGCTTTCCTGGTGTCATGCATACCTTTTGTTATATTTTTCGTATGTTTGTGATCTCAAAAGAGAAAGAAGGTTGGTCATTTTTGATATCACCGGCGCTTTCAAACCTCAAAAGGTTATAATATCGAAAGTGGATTCCTTTCATGGAAAAGTGAAAGTGGGCGTGTTTTGCTTAATGGTGGATGCTCTTCTTAAAGATTGGGTGCTAAATTCAAGTGTTTTCTGGGCAAATTTGTGGCAATCGGATTGCAGATTGTAGTTCAAGTGGATTAATCTGATTAGCCAGGCATTGAATATACAAGGGTGTTGCTCAAAGATTGTGATCAAACAAAGATTGATATCAGAGAGAGAGAGAGAGAGAAAGTGAGTTTAGTGGATTGATTGGTCACTTAAAGGCCCTGATTTTGAAGGGCGTTGGGGTTATTAGGAGAATTTCTTACGGATCCGTCAATTGAAAATAGGGGGTCGTATTGCTCGGCTGGTCTGGAGTGCCTACTAAACATAATCAGGGCCCTGAGAATGGGTTCCTGCTTGTCTGCAGAAAGCAGGAGCCCTCTGCCCGATTCGCCGTCGTCTCCCGCCTGGGGAGTCAGGCGGCGCAAGAGCACCAAGAAGAAAATGGGCTCTCGAAATTCTTCCTTTGATTACCGCCGGGAAGAGCCGCTGCATAGGATTCCCGGGAGAATGTTCTTGAATGGGTCAAGTGAAGTTGCATCTTTGTTTACCCAACAGGGCAAGAAAGGGACCAATCAGGATGCCATGATTGTTTGGGAGGTTAGCTCTTTCTCATAATCTTTACTTGACTCTGATCTGGTTTTTTTTACTGATTTATCAGTTTTATATCTGGATGTAAAATCACCCCAGCAACTTTTTATTTCTTATGTTAACTTCCTGCAATCCTACTTCAAAGGAAATAGCAGCCTTTTTCTTCAATACAATTGGCTGCAGTTTCTCAACTTTTTTTTTTTCTCTCGGGATATTATCCAAACTTGCAAACCTTACTTCTGTGGTAGCAGTTGAACTCCTTGTTTTATCGTCCACCTTAGCAATTGCAAGTCCTTGTTTGCAGAGCAAAGTGGCTCACCTTGATTGTCATATATTTGAAGGCTCCCGCAGAAGAAGCTACTCTGTTCGATTTGTTCGTTACTTTATATGCAAGGATTTTGCCATATATTAACCTTCAGATAGCTTCATCCTTGTTATTCTGTATCCAAGTTTTAAAACTGTTCCATTTTATCATGTATAGATTTATTTGTTTGACTGTTACTAATTTCTATTTTGTTGTGATATGTATATTATGAGGAAACGTTTCCAGGGGTGAACAATGTTATTATTGTCTAAATCGTTTTAAATATGAATTTCAGAATTTTGGTTCAAGAACAGACACAGTTTTCTGTGGTGTTTTTGATGGCCATGGTCCGTTCGGTCATATGGTCGCTAAAAGAGTGAGGGATTCTCTTCCTCTGAAATTGAGTGCAAACTGGGAGGTGACCATAACCAGTGAGGAAGTACTCAAAGAGATCAGCCTCAATACTTCAGGAAGCTTGAATTCAGATGGTACTCCCTTTGTATCTGTTGATGAAGATTTCAGGGCCTCCATTGATATTGAGGAAACAGACAAACACCCTGAGATCTTTCAGACACTGAAAGAGTCATTCCTAAAGGCTTTCAAAATTATGGATAGGGAGCTGCGAACACAACCAAGTATCGATTGCTTTTGTAGTGGGACAACAGCTGTAACTTTGGTTAAACAGGTGTTTTCATAACCTTTGGAAACTTGTACTGATGTGGTGTTGGTTTTTTGTGATGTACTCATCTTTATGATGCATGTTTTGGCATGTTGGCATGTTGGCATGTTGGCATGTTTCTTAGGGTCGGGATTTAATCATTGGAAATGTTGGGGACTCCAGAGCTGTTCTGTGCACGAGAGATAAAGATGACACTCTAATTGCAATTCAATTGACTGTGGATCTCAAACCAAATCTTCCAGGTCTCTCTCTCCTTTTTTGCTTCTCCTTTCTCATAATAGTTTTCAATGAATTTTTTCAAATTTGGTTTATGATTTTGGCAAGATCTGATCTAGTCACATTTCTAATGATGCTCTACACATGCAGAAAGTTGTTTTGGGGGGTGTGATTGAAGTTTTTAAAAGACTTTGTTGTCAGGTTGTCTGGTTAAGAAAATATTCATATATGAAATATATTCAGACTAATTTCATAGACTTGACACAGATTATTTTGGTGTTGGATCTCTATTAGAATATGAAACTTTAACATCACCATTCACCACTCTCATTGTTCATGTTCTTTTGTTCTCAGAAATACCTAAAGTTTCTGAATCCACATAGCATAAATAGCTCGGCATGAAGTCACTTTTAGCGACATATCTATTTGTTATTTTTCCACTGCCATTATAGAGAGTGAATATTCCTTGTGGATTGGATAATGGCTTCCATCTCCCTGGAACAGTAAACAAGGAATACAAAAGAAAAGATTCTATGATGAATTGCGGTCTGCTTGCTAGCTTCTTGTGATTATCTTCTTTCTGAGTTCTTACCTGCTTTTTCCTTTATTACTTCCTCACTCAACAGCGGAAGCAGAGAGAATACGGAAGTGTAGAGGGCGCGTTTTTGCTCTTCAAGATGAACCTGAGGTTTCTCGGGTCTGGCTGCCAAACAATGACTCCCCTGGTCTTGCCATGGCACGGGCTTTTGGAGATTTCTGCCTCAAGGATTTCGGCCTGATCTCTGTGCCAGATATATCCTTTCGGCGTCTCACTGAGAAGGATGAATTTATAGTCTTGGCTACAGATGGGGTATGGATCCAGCTGATTTAAAGCTACTTACGAAAGAGATATATAACATGCCCCTTCCTTTCACCCTCCTATTCCTCCTCCTCCTGCTCTTTGAATCTAAGGTTGAAACTTTTTGGCAGATTTGGGATGTTCTCTCTAACAAAGAAGTGGTAGACATTGTAGCATCAACCCCAGCACGCTCTTCTGCAGCTCGGGCACTGGTTGAGACTGCAGTTCGAGCTTGGAGACAGAAGTATCCAACTTCCAAAGTAGATGACTGTGCTGTAGTTTGCCTTTTCCTTGACTCAGACTCAAACTCTGGATCAACTGCTGCTAATAACTGGTCGGGTGAGCAGCCTGCCACAACGGATGAGGTCAATGGTGGGACTGAGCAAGAAGATCTCTCTGGGACAACTTGTTTGGTCCGCTCAGGGACTGCCCGAACTGGCGAAGAGATTCTTCAAGATGAAGAAGAAGAAGAAGAAGAAGAAGAAGAAGAAGAAGAAGAAGAAGGAGAGGAAGAAGAAGAAGCAAGTAAAGAGAACGGTGCAGAGGAAATGAATTCAGAGGCGGGTAAAGAGTGGTCTGCTCTGGAAGGAGTTTCCCGTGTGAACACATTATTGACCCTGCCAAGGTTTGTGCCTACAAAAGAAGACAAGAAGGTGTGGAAGAAGGTTTGATTATTGATTAATCACCTTGTTTCTGTTTCTCATAAAAAATTGTTCAGTATCATTTATTTTTCCTCGTCTCTGTTTCTGTTTTGCATTTTCTACACATATGTGTTTTGTAGGGCCATAAAAGTAAAAATTTTGACCGGAGAGGTAGGCCCTCCCGACTATATTAGCATGTCTGGGAAAATTGTCCTTTCTAGTGTGGGTAGAATTGGAATTTTTGTAAAATCCATGTCTCTCTCTGTCTCTCTCTGTCTCTCTCTGTCTCTCTCTCTATATATATATATAATTTATGTTTCAAAAGATATTATGATGTATTGTTATGTGGATAATAATTTTGAGATGATAATGAAGCCTCCTCATCATCCTAAATACCAGGCAGTCTCTGAAAAAGAGCTCCACCATGAAAACGGTTGGCCTCTTGTTTTCATTATTCCTTTTGACTTTTATGAAAAGCTGCTTCCACAACAATATGTATATCTTTGTCATAATGAGAACCCCCCGAATAGGATCCATCACTCACCACACATTGCACTGCATGACTACGAATGAGCATTACCAAACCCTTTACGAATGAGCTGGCGTGGGTTGTTTGTTTTCAATCCGTTCATATCAAAGCATCAATTCAGAAAATAAGATGATGCTTTTTTGCATCAATTCAGAAAATAAGATGATGCTTTTTTGTGTTTGTGTTTGTGTTTGTGTTTTTATTCATCATATCAACATTAATATACTTCACATATAATATTAGACTGTTGGTAGCAGTCATCATGTGAGAAAAATTGAAAAGTAAATCAAACTCTTGGTAGAATGCATTTCTTTGATTGATGTAAGATCAAAAGTTGACAATGTAATTTGTAAGTTTAATAACCAGAAAGAAATGTGACGACAAAAAGAGAGAGATAGAGAATGGAATGGAAATGCTTTTTCAATGTCATATCGGTTCTTGACCCAAAAAAATAATAAAAATTTGTCATATCGGTTTTCCTTCCAACCAGCGTGTATAAAAGTCCAGTGCCTCCCGCGGCTTGTACTCAGGGACAGTGTGTCCAGCTCCCTGCCCCGCCAGAAGCCAAGAGAAAAAAAACTTGAATAAATCTAAAGCAGATAGCTTTTTTGATTATATATTTAATTTATCGGAAAAGAAACATAACAATTATACGAGAGAGAGAGAGAGAGAGAGAGAGTCCGTGTACATGTGTACAGACCTTGATGGTGAGAAAGGTGAGGTTGTTTTGATATGCTTGCAAGTATCTGCAGCAGATAACACAAATCTTATTAAGAAGTTGATAAAAGAAATCAAACAAACAAAAAGTGGAGGACCAGTCATTTACTGCGAGCCAGCCACATATACGGAGGAGGAGGTGAGTAACTGCATATATATTTTATCAGAAAAGAAAACATGTCCTTGTCCAAGATTATGTATAATTAATAATAGGTAGATTTGTTATGTGTACCCTGCAACTTGCTCATTGGACTGCCAAGATCTCCATTCATCTACAATTTGATATCCAAGTGATCTGGTCCATGCCTGGCTCCCAGTGTACGGAACACACATATCATGGTCTCCACTGCCAACATAAAATATAAAAAATAAAATAAAATATTTATTATTACTTGCAGCAAAGATAATAATTTGTTTATAATTAACATTCCATGCATGTAAATGAATGCAGACCTGTAAATGAGTGCTCTGTATCCCTGAGTTGTAAGATTTTGGTGATAAGGGATCATACTTCCAGCATCATGAGAATAAATTATTCTGCCTGTACATAACTCCCAAGGACCAGCCACACTTTCCTGTCATTCATTATTACTTGTGTCATAATTAAGGCTAAGTGTGACTTCAATAGAAAATTAATCATCATATCTCCACAGCAAAAGCAAGCTAGCTTACTGGCTCTGCATGAATTGCTTCCCTAACTGCTGGGTTGTTTAGCCATTTCGTTGCAACTTCATCACTCTACATCCAAATTAATTAAACAAATAAAAAAACAAACCTTCATTCAAAGGTTATATATATATATATATATTTGACTCTCTCTCTCTCTCTCTCTGAGGAGGTTACAGCCTAAAAAATTAAGGTTTAAAAAGTAACTTACCATGCAAGGAACACCGAGTGAGTTTGACAGCTGAGGCCACAATGGGACAATGCCATCTTCTACGGGTGCCCTAAAAGGCCAAGCACGGCCAAACATCCTTTTCCTCACTCCCATAGGCTTCTCAGTAGTGGTCCCTAATTGCTGGAAGCTTAGTGGTAAGCTTGTATTTCCTTTGCCATTATTTTGGTTATTATTACTATTAGTTCCTGGGCCATGGTAACAAGGCTCCAGGATGTCGTAAACGTTTAGTCCATCAATAGCCTAATCAATGACCAAACAAGCAAATAATTAATATATAATGTGAGAAGCTTTAAGTTCACTTTTAATAAAATAAAAAAAAACAGAATCGCTCGCTCGCACGCACCTCGTAAACTAGCTCAAGTTTCTTGCCGCATTGAGTACGATTTGGAGGATTATGGAAGTCTCCTCCACATGCGACTGTAACTTGCTGCAATAGTCAATTCGGCTCAAATGTGCTTTTGGCACTAAAAGAATAATAATTGGAAAACAAAATCAAACAAAATGCCGAGATTAAGAGATGAGTCTAGCTAGCTACCTCAAAGATTTGATCTGAGATGAGGGCCATCCCATGAGCAAATGGTACTAGAGCATTGCCATCAAATTTCCCGTCTGTGACTCCATTCCCCACCAGGTAACCCTATACGAACATACAGAGGATAAGTTAATTATGCGATGATGAAGCTGATAGATTTAGCTTAATCTTTCTCAAGTTTACTATGTATACGCACGTACCTTGAGATTTAGAGTTGGTTTTGTTCCATTGTTTATACCTACACATTATATATATATAGGTAATTAATTATGGTTTAAGAGTATATATATGCGGAAATTAGATACGTACCTTTTGCAACTTGAGAAGCAAGAGTTGGCACATAGACTCCAGCATATGACTCTCCAGCAATGTAAAATGGATTTGAAAGGAACTCCGGGAATTGCTCAAACCACTGATTGCAATTTGCATTGCATATAGTAGAGAATTATTGTTGATGATGAACCCATTTTATTAATTTAAACTGATTGGGATCGATGGATTATCCCAAATAGAATAATATATTATTACCTTGAGGAGAAAGGCGTGTGTATCAGAAGCAGTTTGTAGGTCTCCAGTTTGATATTTGCTTTCGTCTTGAGAGTAAGAAAAGCCAACACCAGCAGGAGAATCCAAGTAAATAATGTTGGAAACCTGAATATTTGGTTAATTAGGCCAAGAAATTATTTAAATTAAAATTAGTAAAAAAAATGGAAATCTTTCCATATAGAGACCTTGGACCAGCTATAAGGATTAAGATGCAAAACAGGCAATCCTCCTTTTGGTTGTCCTTGTGCAAAATTGAATGGCCCTGCATGCATTTACTGATAGAGTTAGAGTTAATCAATCTGACAATCTCCCCATAAACTTTTACTTTATATAGAGGTTACTTTCGCATTTCCAAAATCAATGTCACATTATATTTTGGGTCAACTTTGTCACATTTCGGGACAAGAAAGCTAGGAATTCTCGGAAAAAACTCCCAAATGAATTAGCAGACTGCCAACCTTTGGAGCATATAGAAAATTAACGGCTCTATTAATTCCAGAGTCAGACACCAGACCAGACCAGACCAGATGAGTTAGAGTTTCATTTTCATATATATAAATATGAATGCGACTACAAACAACCACTGGGACCATAAACTCATGGACAATACTTCAACTACTAAAGCTAGCTAGCTTCACATCATCATCAACATCTACATAATAATATTCAAAATAATAATAATAATAATATTCAAAATAAAGCAGACAGCAAGAAAAAGACAATAATTTGATTGTGTGGTGCCAAATGCGCCTACTACTTTTACTTTATTAGAGCTGAAATGGACAACACTGTATTATGAGTTACAATTACAGTCCCACACATCTCTCTTCCTCTCCAGTGGAACCAATTACTTTTTTTGTTTGTTTTGTTTTCTGAAACAAAATTATTATTAATTTCCAATCAGCACCCACCCGTGAGTGGTGACACAGGCACAGCTAATGACCAACATTGCAAAAGAATGGAAAAGAAGAAGAAGAAGAAGGAAAAAGAAGTTGTGGTTGAACAAAAAAAGTAGAGTGATATACCTAATTTTGAAAAAGAGAAAGAAATTAGCTAGAGCGCAGAAAAGACATACGTACCATGCTCATAAACAAAGCCATCGAAGCTAGAGCAGCCGGGTCCACCATTGAGCCACAGAACAACTGGATCATTTGCTGGGCTTCTTTCTGAAACTACCAAGTAGTAGAAAAGATTCTTTCCATCTATGGTTATATATCTACACATTCAATTCAACACAATAATACATTATCTACATATATATACTAGTATAACAATTCTGTTGATATCATTTTGCTTGCAAATAAATATATATAAGACGATAGCTTCTAAAATAAAACTTACCCTGAGTAGTGCTTGGATGGAAAGGTACCATTAAAGCCGGGAAGTTGGGTGATAAGAGAGCTTTCAGGGGCAGCCTCAACTATAACCAAACTCATAAACAGCATATGCATGCACACAGTTATGCTCAAAATGAAGAATTTGCCCATGCCCATGGTGGCCGCTGCCTTCTAAATTCTAATTAAGAGATTAATTAAAAAGGCCTGCAGTTTCTTACTTATATCATAAACTGAAGGAAATATTGTGTTGTGTGCGTGTATGAGTGAGTGAGAGAGAGAGAGAGAGAGAGAGAGAGAGAGAACGCACTAATCATCTGCAGAAAAGTGAGTATATATAGACAAGAAATGGGATGAAACTTCAATTTGTGGGTCAAAAAAGGAAACAAATCTTAGCATAGAAAAATATTAAATCGAAAAAAGAAAAAGAAAAAAAAAAGACAATTGGGGTTGAAGGAAACGAAATTAAGTCAAGCAAACAAGACAAGGAGGACCAGGGTGGGCTTCAATCCGGCCAAACCAAATTGTAATTATCGATTTGGTTTGTTTTTGATCAAGAAAAAGTTAAATGGTTTAAAAATCGAACCAAACCATATATGGTTTAATTTGGTTTGGTTTTGAGCTTTTGTATGATGAGTGTGTAAAATATATAGTATAAGAGAAATGCTAGGCATACCACATTTCCATATATATACACATATCATCTCTAATAGAAGTGGAGCTCATCAATACAATATACAATGGGGCTCATCTCGATTAGAGAGGTGGTATATAAATTTAGTATGTATGAGTAATATTTTTGATAGTATAAATATAAGGCTAAATTATTGAAATGCCCCCTGTAACTCAATTTCAGTCTCAGTTTCCCCCATAAAACTCCATATATTGTCTCACTTTACCTATATTCCATCCTGCCCTAACAGAAGTCGTCAAATCTTAACCCACCAAAAACAACCTCCCCTTACAAATTTAGATACTCTCTGAATCTTCAACTACACCCAAACTCATTTGCAAAACCAAACCCCTCTCCAAACTCCAAGAAACGAAGAACAACCTCCAACAATGGCGACATCCCAACTCCTTCTCTCTCTCATCGTCCTCTCAGTTCTCTCTCTCTCTCTCTCTCCTCCGCCCTCCCCACCCAAACCCTCGTCAACACCGCCGAAATCCTCTCAGATTTCGCCTACACCTCTATGGCTCTAACCCTCGACCTCGCCTCTCAAACCCTCCTTCTCTCCCAGTCTCCTTCTCTCACCATCTTCGCCCCCACCGACGCCACCTTCTCTCACTCCGGTCAGCCACTGCTGAACCTCTTGCAATTCCACATTATCCCCCTTTATTTCTCTCTCCGATCCCTTAAGTCCCTGCCTTTCGGCGCCAAGATCTCAACTTTACTCTCTAACCGCTCTCTCTCCGTCACCACTTTGGCCTACAACCCCAGAGTCTCACTCAACAACATCCCCATCATTGTTTCCCCATCATTGTTTCCTCAATTTTCGACTTCTGTTAGGGCTGGATGGAATATAAGCAAAGTGAGATAATATATGGAGTTTCAGGGGGGAAATTGAGACTGAAATTGAGTTACAGGGGGCATTTCAATAATTTAGAGTGGTGCTAAATGAACCCTAAAATTAACTGAGTACACCCTACTATCAAACTTTTTATTGAATTACTAATTTATCCTAATATAAAATTACCAAAAAGGATATTTTGAATTATGAAATAAATGTATGTGAAGAATTCAATGTCTTGGAATACGATGATTGATGGGTATATGAAAAATGGCAAGGTTGACGATGCGGTCAAGCTGTTTGAACAAATGCCACAGAGAGATGCGGTTTCTTGGACTGTTTTGATTGGTGGGTTTGTCAAGAAAGGTCAGTTCGAGCAAGCATTGGAGTGGTTTCGGGAGATGCAGCTCTCGGGTGTGGAACCAGACTATGTAACCTTAATTGTTGTAATTGCTGCTTGTGCGGATTTGGGAACGCTTTGGATTAGGCTTGTGGATAAATCGGTTTATTATGAAGCAAGATTTTAGAGACAATATTAGGATAAGTAACTCGTTGATCGATATGTATTCTCGATGTGGTTGTATTGGTTTTGGCGAATAATAAATCAAAGAGAAAACAAGGGGCTTTCTGCTGCCTTTGAATCAAAGCTTCTCAGCCATGATATCCGAATAATTTAGTATGCCACCTGACCTTGATGAATGCTGTTACCAGATTCAAATGGGTTTGCTTCCGTGTGATAGAGTGGATTTGGGTGTATCTGGGGTATTTTTGGTAATTAAATAGGGTGTACTTAGTTAATTTTACATTTTGATTTAAATATTAGGGTGTACTTAGATCATAAGGTGTACTCAGTTAATTTTAGGGTTCGTTTAGCAGCACTCATAATTTATCCTAAATATAATAGAGAGGGTGGCTGGCAAGGCTAGCATTAGCAACAAACAAAAGAAGTTTTTAAAACATATATCTAAATTGAGCTAGCTTTTTAATTGACGACGACGACGACAAAAGAGCTGAATGTTGTTGTTTTGGTATTTTAAAAAGGTGAAATTAACTATAGAGATGTTGGTGGCTTATGGCTTATGGTTGGTGTGCATTGCAATGTTCCTTGTAAACAAGAGGTAGCGAATTAGTATTAATAATAATAGTGGTGATGGAATACGACGTAGCTACGTGCGGATATTGCAATATGGCAAATTGATTGCAAAATTAAATAATATGGGAATGGAATGAATGAATAGGAAATGATGATGAGGGCGTGTACTCCGATAAATGCTGCTGCCTGCCTGCCTGCCTGCCTGCCTGCCTTGCCTGCCTGCCTTCCTTGCCTGCTGGTAATTAAGGTAGGAAGGAATCAGTCCTTCCACCTCAAAAGGATTTAGTTCATTCAAATACATAATAGAAAGTGGATTTTGTGAAATAATTTTGTTGAATTTGTAGGTGCAAGCTATAAACTAAAGGATGGATGTTATATATCATTTCATAGCATTCAAATTGACAAGTTAATTACTTTGGTTGAAACTTAATTATAATAGGGTGGATCGATCTGATCAAACATTCTAAAGATAATTGTTGCTGTGATGGGTGGTCTGGTTGTGGCTTATGGGAGAGAGAGACAGAGAGAGTGAGTGAGAAGCTAATTGTATAATAAATTATAAATGTGTGTGTGTATGTGTGAGAGAGAGAGAGAGAGAGAGAGAGAGAGAGAGAGAGAGAGAGAGAGGTCTTGTTGACTTCACAGAAGAAAAGAACAACCCTGGAGAGACCTTATCCTAAACAGTTGAAAAAGAGAGGCTGTAAATTGTTTGTGTTGTGCTGGATCCTCTGTGTGCATGCATCATGCATGTGGTCTGTGGTCTGTGGAATTGGAATTGAACTTGGAGTGTAAGGTTGTTATGGGTGGGGACGGAGAGATTCACATTCACATTCACATTCACAATCACAATCACAGAGAGGCGATGAGATGAATGCCTCTGTTTCCATCATTCCCTCCTCCTCCTCTACCTCCTCCTGCTGCTGCACCACCACCCTCCTCCACCGCCGCAGCCGCATATTTAAAACTACCTCACCTGCTAATAAATCTATTTTCACCTCCAACTCCAACTCCCATTTTACTACTTTTACTACTGCCTCGTCCTCCCCCCATTACCACCGCCCTTTTTTACTGCGAGGTCCGTATACAGCATATCCTTACCCTTTGATTTGCTTGCTTCTTTGTTATTCTATATTTGCTGCTTCTTTGATTTGTTTGATGATTGATGGATGTCATGTGTGCAGTAACAAATGATTCAAGTGGAAGTAGTGAATCTGAGAGAAGAGAGGCAGTAGATAGGATTGTGGATGGGATCGAGTTTGGGGAGCTGTGCAATGAGTTTGAGTGCATCAGTAGCCCCTCCATCGAGTCTACGGCTCGACAGCTTGTACGTGACATCCTTGAGCTCAGGGAAGGCAATCGCGCCCTCGGAACCTTTGCTGTTTCTGTTCAATACAAGGTCATTCATCTTTTTCTTCACAAATCCGAATCATCTCCTCCCTCGGGCCTTCAATTAATGCCTGTTTTTAATATGGAACCATCTCCTCCTACTAATTAATTGCAGGACCCAGTTAGAAGTTTTAGTGGTCGTGACAAATACAAGAGACCACTATGGATCACCACTGCCCTCCGCAAACCCTCTGTGGTCACTCTTCTTCCCTGTTTTCTCTGTTTTTTTTTTTGTTTTTTTCATTCACAACAAGAAGATAACACAAATGTATTTCAATTCTGCCTTACGGTACAGAGTGTGCAAGAGATGAGCATGCTATCCACCAGTGTCCTAAGTATCAAGTGGACTGTCAAAGGGAAGCCCAAGAACATTGTTGGTGCTATAGCCTCGGATTTGATCATCCGAATTAATTCCCAATTCACTCTAAACCAGATAAGTGGGCAAGTGATTGAGCATAAAGAGTTTTGGGATTTATCGGCTTCCTCTGCCATTGGCAAGGCATATTTCTGGACCTCGCGTCGTCTCTTCGCTACCATTGAGGGTGGCAAAGACTTGGCTGATCTTGTCAAAACCATTTCCAACCAGTTTCCCAGAGAAAAACAGAATATGGAGATTTATCCTGACCCTTCAGGTGACCCAACTAAGGTGAGTTAACAAACGTGAGTCATGTTTATTGATATGCAATTGACACATTGATTGATTGCACCATTTGCTTTTGATTCTCAGTTCTTTCAAAGGGATGACGGTTTCCAAAGAGATGTATACCAAATTGCTCTGTTTCTGGCACTCGTCTATTTTGTTGTACAGCTTTTGAGGACAACCTTGTAAACCCCACATTACCGTTGTGTACTCTAGTAAGTTAAATTTACACTTGAAATCTATATATACATACATTATGCATACTACTAAGTAACTATGAAATGTTGAGATATTGCATCATTGTTTCAGCTTACATTTACAAAGACAGATACAGCTTACTCTCTTTTTCTTTACTCTTGTAAGGTGTTTAGTGCTGTAGGCAGAATATACAATATAATGGCCAGGAGGCGGTCAGTACATTTCAAGCATTTAACACTCACTCACTCACTCACTCACTCACTCACTCACTCACTACTATAAATTATAAATGCCTCATGGTCTGTTAGAATCAACAATAAAAGCCACCCCAGACAGATAGTAGGTCTCATCTCATGGTCTAATCAAATGCATACATTGAATCCTTCAGAGATATCAGTCCTATGAATTCTTAAGGAATTTCTGAGGATGATGAGGCTTGAATGAAAATTACAGACAAGCTCATACAAAAGAGAAAAGAAAAGAGGTCGAACCAGAAGGGTGGACAAAAACTATCACCACCTGGAAAGACAGATAAATACTTCCAAAATAATTGGTATGTTTTTCTTTTTTATTATCATTTTGGGTTGAACAAATTAGGGTGCACCAGAGTTAATGGATGTTAAAAAAGTAGCACTTGTTGAATTAATGCAATATTTGCAGCATGGCAATTACTAATAACAGGAATGTCAATAGTGTTGTTCTCATTATGCGGCTGGATGCTGAAGAAAGATTGTGGGCACCAACAGAGTATGCCTGCCCTGACTTGTCATCCTTCAGTTTAATGCTTGAAGTGCCTAAAACAAAACAAAACAAAACAAAACATCAAGGCAGGTCATGCTCATGAACCTGCTAACAATAAGAAACATAAAATCGAACACTGCCACCCAATGGCTGGCTGAATGTTACTCACAGTTGTAATCAGTCCACCCAATGGCCTGGTTTTCAAGATCATATAGGACCAGCTTATTTGAAAGTACCAAGTCTGCAATTGGGAACAATTACAAAATTCAATGAATCAGATTCACACATGTGATTTGTTTCCAACATGTAATTCTCAAGACTCTAACCTCCCAGAAGAGTCACGGACTTTCCATCTTTAGATTTCATCGAGTTGCTCTGCCAACCAGAACACCAGACATTGTCCTGTGTATATGTCATGACAATTTTAAATGAATTAATATTGTTGTTACTAAAAAGAAGAGTATAAATCTACAATAAACTTGAGAAAATTATATGTCAGTGCATCACAAAATAAAATTTGGAAAATGTGATAAAACACTCACACGTAGTCGGAACAGATAGTCATGAGGATATACAGTCATTGAAGCAGAACTCTTAAAACCGAACTTTACAATTGGAAATCCATCATCAACCCTGCAAGCAAAAATGATAAGGAAATGTAAGGTAGCTTTCTACAAGTCTAGCTGCTATTCTGGTGTTTAGACTAACCAACACATGTAACACAAGTAATAGCTAAGCTAAGTTAGTGCTTTACTTTCCGGTATACTCAAAACATGTAAACTGCTCCTCAACAGTATGTAACTTCAATCCAGACTGCCGAGCGAATATCTGATTTATCAAAAATACCAATGTAAGGTTTTCTCAACAAGAAAAAAAACAATGTATTTATTTAGACAACAAAATCCAAATGAATGGGACTTCAAGAGCTTCAGTGGCTACCTTTTTCATAAAAGGTTCAAAAACCTCCGGTGTAAGATAAGCCAACGTTGTTCCACTGTCAATTACTGCCGACTTCCGGTCTCCAAAAAGGCCAAATATATCTGTGGTAAGTTCTATAGCATCACCACCCACCTCAATTGTCTTCATTGAAACAGTGTAATGTGGCCTAAGATATTCAATAAAATTAAATTATCACAAGTTTCATAAGCCAATGCCTAACCTGATTGAAGAAAGAAAAATGAAACATCCTTTAATTATAAACCTATGTAGGGAGCTCTTATGGTAACCAGAAAAGAAAAAAAAGGTTCATAATGCAACTGTATTTATGAAGTTAAAGCTCATCCTGAGCGCTATAATCACTCTAACAAGGTTCCCAGCAGCCTGTCACTAAAAAACATGTAGTTACAGTTATCTGTTTCTTCGATATTCAGTATGCATAACTTTCAGGATCTATAACTTGAAGCTACCTTTGTTGCAGACACTACGAAATCAAATGGCAATTTCCATGGCAATATAGCGGGTAGTTCCTTAATCTAGTTGTTGGATTTATTGAGTAATTTCAGTTAGCATTGTACAATTATGAGCCACTTTAGTACGAAGGATTGAGAGATAGTGTCACATACATATTTGGTACCAAGGGAGTTGTATTTTTCACTTTTGGTTCCACCACTTCCCCAATGGCGTAGATTCCTCCACCCTTTACATTATCCAAGCAATGTGAAAATTGTCTTTTCACCTTTCCAGATGAAGCTAGTTGTGAAATGATGGATGCATTTGCCTGGCCAAAACCAAGTATCCCATCAACTGCTGCAGGAGACTTACCAAGATTCCCAGATTGTTTAGCTCCACACCTATTAATCCGCAAGAGACGTAGCTTAATACACACAGGAAGTCCATAGCAACAATGGATTATGCAAAGTCAAATAAGGAAGCTGAAAGTATTCTACATAGAAATGGCTAAAGTTTAGTAATGAGAAAGGCTACATAGAAATGGCCGCGACTCACCCAAAAACTACAGTCCCATTTGTTGATGTGGTTTGATGGTTTCCTGTTACTTTATCGAGTTGTATGTTGTCCTTCACATAGTATCCAGAAGTTGCGCTTCCATCTCCGTAGGCGATATTATAATTGCAGAGCATATTTGGCTTGCAACTAGGAAGTCGACCATCCAGTGTGGAGGTGCAAAACTCTTGATCACAAGTAACCTTGTTTGAAGTTGAAGAGCTCTTTGTATCATATACTGAGAGTTTAAACTGTAGCAGAATAATTAAAACAAGGCATAAATACTGTTTTCTTGATGAGCACGACACATGTAATATGAAAAAAAAGAAGAAGAAAAAGGGCAAAGACGCATACACCAAGATTACTTTTAGTGGGACAGTTTTCGCATTCTGCACAATTCACCCATAAAAGGTCACTTCCTGTATCAACTTGCACGTGAAAGTCCTTTGGAGGAGATCCAATCCCGATTTTAGCGAAGTAGAGCCTAAAACCAGTCAAACCATTCAATGACCAAAACCACAATTGGATATCCAAAGTTTATGCAAAACAAGAAGAAGAAGACGATAATGACCAAAAGCAGAAGAATACGTACCCAGCTTCAGAAGGATGACCATTGCCACCCAATTGCAAATCCACAGCAGCATCTGCGGCGAGAAGCCTACCATGACGGCGAGCATCATGCTCTTTCAATGCACTCAAAGACACCTGCTTGTCACGACCCTTGAACTTATGGTTGACGGAGAACACCAAGTTACCAGACACATTCAAAACCAATGCGAAGAAAAGCAGAATACCACCCAACACGGCCACTCTTGTTGTTGTTGTTGTTGTTCCAAGAGCCATTTTTCAATATAATTTTGATTTACCCAACAAACAGGAATCTGGAAGGTGACTTAACAAAACAGAGATTGAATACAACTCAAAGGTTCAATTTTGAAAAGTTGATGTTTGGAATTGGACCCCCAACGAGCAACAACCACCCTTTTTTGGGACAAAACCCAGACCCAGGCTTAACTAGAAATGTGGGTTTTGTGGAAAATTCATGGCCGAGTTGGGTGGAGAAACAACAAGTAACAAGGTGGGTGGGGTGGCAGAGGGAAAAGGGGCATATGTCTAAGAGGGAATGTGCAAGAAAAGACAGAAGAGAGAGAGAGGGGGGGATGAGAAACGAAAGAGTCGCGCGTTTTCAACGCCGAAAGGCACGTCTTTCTAAAATAGTAAACTACGTCAACCTTTGTAATTGTTTTACTTTTTCTGTCTATTTTGGTTTTGTTTGTTTGGGATTTCCTAATATCTTTGTTTGTGTTTACTGTTCATTATGTTTTGTTTTTCTGTTTTCTATGGTTTTGTCTTGTGTTTTACTACAATAAAGTTTTAAACTTTGATTGCTTTCTCTCTCTCTCTCTCTCTACTCAATTGACTCAATTGACTCAATTGAATTTAATAGACAGGTCAGTGCTAAGCCAACTATAGACTTTTGTTTATTTATAATTTAAAGAAATATTACTTTGGGCCTTAATTGGTCATGGGCTGCAAGTACTTGGTTAGGGGAGTGGGTTGGGTCAACCTAACTTGTTTCGGCTTGCCGCTTGCCAAATTCATGTCGACGACCATATTAAAAATGCCAAATTGTAATTATGTATTTTCTTCATCAATTCCCTTTTTTCTTTTTCTTTTTCCCATTTATGTGGACGATGCAAGCATGCCGCTTGCTTCACTAATTGATCAGCCAAATGACTTAAACACCCCAACATTTTCCATTACAAAATAAATATCAAATGATTAATTTGGTCTTCTCACCACCTAAAAGCCAAATATGACATCACTATTTCTTCCGTCACTTTCACCTTCCCATAAGCTCTCTCCCACCACAACCACTCATTCCTGTCACTACAATCCGCTCAACAAACAGTAAACAAAAGGTATATTCCGTCATTAGGATTGAACAAATTATTCTAAAGCGACCAAAATATCCCCTGATTTCCCACAACTGCTCCGAAAACGTCTCAGGGCAATGCTGTCTTTTCCTTAGCATGCCTCGCCATTTCTTTCATCCACACAAGATAACAAGTTCGCGACGTGACGAAAATGACACCGGGTTTCTCATACCAACCCACAAACCGAAAGGGCATATTAGTCTTTCTCAAAATCACCCTTCTCCTCTTGTATATGTCCTCAATTGTTTCTCGCTAGCTGCAACGGATTCACTTGGCTCTCTCTCTCTCTCTCTCTCTCTCTCTCTCTCAGAAATGGCTCTGCAGACTGCTGCTGCTCTCTCTCCTCGCTCCATTAGCTCCTCAACGACGATACCCTGCGCCGCGAAGCATCCGATCATTTATTCTTCTACTTCAAGTTCAAGCTGCTTCCTCTCGCAGTCGCAGAGGAAGAATGTGGCAGTGGGCTTGAGTGGTGTAACAACCAGTAAGAGGAAGCGGGCCTGGGCCTCTACGGTGAAGTCGAGCTTGGACACTGTAGGCCCCACTGTCAATGTGGGTCAGGTCACGGAGGTTGACAAGGACACCTTCTGGCCCATCGTCAAGGCCGCCGGCGATAAGACCGTCGTCCTCGATATGTACACGCAATGGTATGCTTCATTTCTTTCTGTTTTTACATCTCTGCTTTCTGTTTGGTTCGCGGGAAATTCCATAAATTAATTCTAAATAAAGGAAACAAAAACTCTTGTTCAGAGTGGAGAACCTGAATTTTGTATGTGAATACGTGGGTGGTGCGGATTAAGCAATGAAATTGAAGTGAGTTTTGGCCAATTCTGAAAATTTCGGGAAAGAAAATCAGAACAAACAACTATCCTGTTCGTCGAGAAATGTTATGTGTTTGTTTCCCCCTTATTCATTTTACACGAATAATGAAGTGGATTTTCAAAGTGTAAGATTTTCTTTGAATGAAATTTCAAAATGTAGATTTCAGCTGAAGTTTTGGTTTCACATATTACTTACAGTGGTTTGTGCAAATTGCATAAAAGCAAGAATGTTGTTTTTAAGTTTGTGGAATTTAGTTGGGACAAGTTGTTGAATGAAACATGGAATTGTAGCCCTGCTTTAATTCGTTTAATTTTTTTTGATTGAAATGCTATTCTTGATATCCATTTGCTTGTGTTTGTATGCGTGATCTTGAATCTTGAATTCGTTCTGCATGCTTTAATAACCCTTAATCTTATGCTAGGTTGTTTGGATTAAACAAGCCTTTGGAAATTGAATTTGAACAGTGGCAATTCTTGCACTGACCATCTTGTTGGTTGATTAGGGTGATCTGCTTGTTGATTTTCTGCCATGTACCAACAGTCCCCAGTCGTGTCACGATGATTGTACAAATTTCATGGCTTAAAAGAGTGCTGATTAATTCATGCTGCTCTCCTTGCTTCTTTAACCTTCACAGTTCATCAAAGTTGTCAAAATTCAATAGCACAAGTCCAAGCCATTTGCAAGAACAGAACCAAATAGTTTTCATTGCACTCACTCAGGCTTGAATTGAATCCTTCAGAGGCGTAGAAATGAACCCTATTTAGTCTACATTTATGGGACCACCAGAATTGTCAAAGCTTTGGTCTTTGAAACTATATTTTAGTTGGTCATTATACACATTCTGTGTTACTGTGAGATTTAAGATTTACTGTATTTCAACCATTGAAATGTGATCTGACTCTTAACTGGAAGACTATCGAATATTTGAACTTACAATATGATCTGAGCTTAGCAAGTTGGGTTGGATTAATTTTCGTTCTGTATCCCATAGAGGAGTAGTAGTATTGTTTGTGTTAGATCATTATTTTTAAGCTTAATTCTGGAAGTTCTGGGAATCCTGATGTAGTGGTTTTCACTTCTTGTTGTTGGAAGATGGTAGGATTGGATATGGGTTATGAATGATCCATGGACAGGCATAAGAAAAACAATACATTACTCAGGTCTAGGGATAGATTTACTATCTCTTGTGTTTTATTTCCTCATCCTGCTTCTGCTTCTGTATCATTACATCTAATTACACCTGATTTCTTATTCCTGGTTTGAACTCTGCAGGTGTGGTCCTTGCAAGGTGATTGCTCCAAAATATCAAGAATTGTCAAAGAAATATCTTGATGTTGTATTTTTAAAGCTTGATTGTAACCAAGAAAATAAGGTTGGTTATCGTGATGCTTGCTTGAATTTTCTTTACTCGAGTCAAGTGTTTTTCCGGTGCTCAATCTTATGTTTAATGGTGAGTGATTGTTGTTGTTAGCAGCCATTGGCAAAGGAGCTTGGGATAAGGGTGGTGCCAACTTTCAAGATTTTGAAGGACAACCAGGTTGTAAAAGAAGTGAAGGGGGCCAAATTCGATGATTTAGTTGCTGCCATAGACGTTGTTAGATCGAGCTGAAACGCCTTAAATTTTTCTCCATGAGATGAGATGTTATAAGGCAAGGAAAAACGTCTGTTTGGAACTCTGATTATTATTCTACTTGTATCTATCTATGTATCCATGTGACGCTTCCTTTGCAACTCTAGTTGAAACTTGAAAGGAGAAGAAATGCAACCATAATCTGCTTGAAAGGAGAAGAAATGCAACATTAATCTGCTTGAAAGGAGAAGAAATGCAACATTAATCTGCTTCATAGAAAGAGATTCCAGCAGGATGTTAGAGACAACATGTTGGAAAAGAAAAAAGAGTGAAACAGACAAGGAAAGGAAGCCAGATGAGAGATGACACATGAAAAAATCTCTCTTCAAACTTCCAACAAAGAAACTAGAAGTAGATTTGGATTAGGCTAGTTGATTAGGCAATGATTTGTTAAAAAGGAAAATTATTTAGAGACAATAATGGTCGGTATGGTAAACGCCCTACACTTGCATTCGTCCCCTAAATGCTTGGTGGCCCATACTGTTAACTTGGGCACCAATGAAATAACGCCACCGTAACACGGTGATGTAAAGCTAAAAGACAACACCACCCCTAACATTTCCCCAATATAACAAGCATACCTTCTTAACCTTCTTTGCAGATTCTAGTGTCTCGATCTTCTACAGGATACCAAAACACACCCTCCCCTCCCCCGAATAAAGTTATAATTCAAAATTATAAAAACAAAAGAAGGTCAAAAGTCAAATTGCTCCGCCTTTCTTTTTTCTTACAAGTTGATCTTTTCCTCTTCCCTCTCTCTCGTTCTCTTTCTCTCTCAAATCCAGAAGAAGAAGAAGAAGAAGAAGAAGAAGAAGAAGGGAGAGAAATGTGTGGGATATTTGCATATCTGAATTACAACGTCAACAGAGAGAGGCGTTATATTCTTCAGGTGCTATTCAATGGTCTCAGGCGTTTGGAATACAGAGGCTACGATTCCGCTGGGATTTCCATCGACCATTCCTTTTCCCTCGATCCAAACACTCCCCAATCTTCCTCCAATTCTCCGCCTCCCCCACTAGTTTTTCGCCAGGAGGGAAACATCGAGAGCCTCGTCAAATCCGTCTACCAAGGTAACTCTTAAAAAAAAATAAAAATTATTCATTTACTTGTACATTCTGTTTTGTTTCCCGGGAAAATGTTGAACAGTAAAGAAACTGTAAATTTGAGCCCGGCGTTATGTTCTTCTCTGGTTGACCCAGTAAAATTGGTCCGGGTTATTTTGGCGGGTCAACCCAGTAACAATAAATGCAGCTGTTTTTTTTGGTCGAATATAAATGCAGCTCTGTATCATTGTTCTTCATTAAAGTTTCATTGTTTACTTGTTATTCGTGTCGGGTTGGGTAGATGTGGTTTGGGTTTTTAGACCTGCACTCTTTGAGGCTGGGTTTGGACCAGACAATGCCAGCTTAACCTTACCAACCGTTTGGGCATAGGAATGCACAAAAGAAATAGCAAAACACAAGTTTGGAACTTTGGACCTCTTTCCTTTTTGTTTTTTTTGTAAACATTTCTTTTTCTAGTATTAGTTTGTTTAGCGTCAGTGTCTTTGGTATTTCTTATGCGTTTATAACATTTTCTCATCCGACATCCTCCCTACACTAAGCTTGAAAAGAAAATGCTGGTTACTTGTTAGTTAGGGAATGTTTAAAATTTGAATATTGAAATAAATAAATCACTTTTTTGGAATAATAGGTTGAGCCTTTTGGACAGTTAGTAACTTACTAGATTCTCATACTAAACCAATTTTACGTGCTTATGGTTGAGTCCGGTGATGTTCCAGTTTTTAAAAGTTGGGAAATTACTAATTGCAGTATCACTTTGTCCTATTACAATCCAGAATTAATATCTTATAAAACTTTTAAAGCAAGTACACGGAGCTGAAATACATACATTTTCTGTTTATCAGCTGTATATATTGATTTTATAGTTTTGTTGACTGTCCTTCAAGGATAGTAATATATGCCTCTCCTTTTTAAAATAAAATAAAATAAAATCTATCCCGAATCCCTGGAATTAATGTTTATTTTTTGTAAATCCAGAGGTTGCCGAAACAGAGTTAAATTTAGAAGAATGTTTCTCTCACCATGCTGGAATAGCGCACACCCGGTGGGCTACTCATGGAGAGCCAGCTCCAAGGAACAGCCATCCACAGAGTTCTGGCTCTGGAAATGAATTTTTGGTTGTTCACAATGGAGTTATCACTAATTATGAGGTTCGATAAAGATTTCAGTTGTAGAACTTTTTCTTTCTTTTTTGAGATTATTGTTCTTGCTGAATGCAACCTTTTTTATGATGAAAATATTACTTTATCAAAGTTGAAAAAAGAAAAGAAGAGAAAAACTATTGTGGTTAGATGATTGCCTAGGTATGAATATGTTTATTTACTTTTGGATTGTACTAAAGTTTACTTTATTTTTGGACTGTATGCCTAACAGCCTCTGTCATCAATGGCTCTGCTGATTTACGTTCTTGTTCACTTTCTCAGGCCTTAAAGGAATCACTGGTCCGGCATGGATTCACCTTTCAATCTGAAACTGATACAGAAGTAATTCCAAAGCTTGCCAAATATGTTTATGATAAAGCTAAAGAAGGAGAAGGTAATTTTATATGTAACTGGAAGTAAGCTAAACATTTAGTTAATGAGTATAACTTACAATTTGAAGTTCAAAATCTTTAATTGCTAATGCAAAATTGTGATTAATATAGTTCGTGCAGTTATTTCTTTTAGCTATTCAGAACTCATCACCTGATATTTGTGACAGTCTAGTGGGTTGATCCCTTCACTGCTTTGAAAGTAAAAAAGAATTTATTAACTCAAATACTAAAAGGGTTGCCCTATTGAATTACTCTGGAAGCAAAAAGCTTCTTCATTAGCCCCGGAGCTCTTTTTTTTTCTTTCTTTCCATATTTGCCCAAAGATGCAGTAGCCAAGGCGGGAAATGGGCTTCTGTAGGATAGGGGTGGACAGATCAACTGAATTATTTATTTATTTCCTCATTTTTCAGGATGAATGTATTTTAATTTTGTTAGGGGTAGTATATAAGTGCACTTCCTGATAAAGTGCATTCCTTTGATTCTGTTGTTTCTTTTATTTTTATTTTTATTTTTTCCATTTCACATAATTCTTTAAAGCACAATCTAGGGTGATGTTAGAGTGTTATGTTTATGTTTCAGGTGACCATACTATCACATTTAGTCAAGTTGTGCTTGAGGTTATGAGGCATCTTGAAGGAGCATATGCCCTGATTTTTAAAAGCCAGCATTATCCAAATGAGTTGATTGCTTGCAAGCGTGGCAGTCCATTGCTCCTTGGTGTCAAAGTATGCTACATTTGGAATAGCTTAACAATTTTGGCTAAATATTAAGTTTTTAATTATATGTGCCTGTAATAGTTTTTCATCGACACTTTTGGCCTGATATCTGACCTTGGTTGACACTTATGCTATCATGTCAGGAATTTAATGAAAATGCTAGCAATGGATCTACTTTCCAAGATGATAATTTCCTTTCAAAAAGCGGACATGCTAAGGAACTCTTTTTATCCAGTGATGCCAATGCTGTAGTTGAACACACTAAAAAGGTTTTGGTGATTGAAGATGGTGAAGTAGTACATCTTAAGGTACTTACTTAAGTGTTGTATTTTGTTATGTTTTAAATTTTTAATAGGACAGTCGCATATCGGCGTAGTGCATAGGGACCTAAGATGTGTCCTACCATCTGTTTTAACATAAAGTATATCTATACAGGGCTTATGCCTTTCTTCTAATTAAGGATTTATTTAACTTCCATTTCAGTGTCTATATAGTTTTTATTTCTTGTATGCTTAATTTTACAATTAGGATGAAACTTGTTTTTGATAGTTTTTTCCTAGTATTCCCACTCTTTTTTGGCCTTTTCAATTTACTTTACCAAATTTTCTTCCTAAACATTCATTCTTATACATGCTCTGCATTTGTGATAATTACCTTTTAAGTTTATGTCCTTAGTCCTCATATAGCTGTTTGGACCTTTTGGTTTACTCTACCAATATGTCGTGCCAAGATATTATTGATTCTGATTTCTTTGCTTGTTGTACTTAATTGCTTCGGAAAATTGAAGTTATTTTGTTTTTACCCATGGTGGCGGTTGTTTCAGGACGGAGGTGTTTCTATCTTAAAGTTCGATAAAGGGCAGCACGGTGGCCTTTCAAGAGTTGCATCAGTACAAAGAGCATTGTCCATTCTTGAGATGGAGGTTGAACAAATAAACAAAGGAAATTACAAACATTATATGCAGAAAGAAATTCATGAACAGCCTGAATCTCTAACAACCACAATGAGGGGGAGACTTTTACGTGGAGGTTCCTGCAAAGCCAAGACTGTTCTCCTTGGCGGACTGAAGGATCACCTTAAAACAATTAGGCGAAGCAGGCGAATTGTTTTCATTGGTTGTGGTACAAGCTACAACGCTGCCTTAGCTGCAAGACCAATATTGGAAGAACTTTCTGGTAAGTGCTTTTTGGCTGTCAAAAATCCTTTCCTGATTGTTATTTGTTCGTTTTGCTTCTTTTCTGGTTAGTTGAACCTATAAACAATATAGGTATCCCTGTTACAATGGAAATTGCTAGTGATTTGTTGGATCGGCAAGGACCTATATACAGAGAAGATACAGCAGTCTTTGTCAGTCAATCTGGTGAAACAGCAGATAGTTTGAGTGCATTGGAATATGCTCTAGAAAATGGTGCATTATGCGTTGGCATTACAAATACTGTTGGCAGTGCAATAGCCAGGAATACACACTGTGGTGTTCATATAAATGCTGGTGCTGAGATTGGTGTGGCAAGTACTAAGGTAAATTTGCAATTTTACTCTATCTTTGTTTTTGTGATTTTTCGTATTTCTAATTGACAGTCTTATCATGGTCATTAATAGGCGTACACAAGTCAAATAGTGGTGATGGCTATGCTAGCACTAGCTATAGGAGGTGACACAATTTCCAATCAAGCAAGAAGAGAGGCTATAATAGACGGTTTATTTGAGTTGCCAAGTGAGTTCTGGTTATTTTCTTTTCTTAGCATATCACTGCAATGTACTTCGTTTTCCAGTCTGTTTTCCAAGAAGTAACTTGCAAGAAAGCATAACAAAGTGAATTTTTCCTATATGCTTATTGCAGACAAAGTCAGGGAGGTCCTCAAGCTTGACCAGACGATGAAGGATCTTGCACAAGAACTGATAGCTGAACAGTCACTTCTTGTGTTTGGGAGAGGATACAACTATGCAACAGCTCTGGAGGGTGCTTTGAAGGTAAAAGAAGTGGCCCTTATGCACAGTGAAGGAATACTTGCCGGTGAAATGAAACATGGTCCTTTGGCTTTAGTTGATGAAAATCTCCCTACATTTGTGATTGCTACCCGTGATGCTTGCTTCAGGTTTGTCCTGTCATAGTTGGGAGCGCTTACATGCTTTGAAAATGCACCTGGTTTTCTTAATGATGACTTTTGATAATTTACAGTAAGCAGCAATCAGTTATTCAGCAGCTTCATGCCCGCAGAGGACGTCTGATAGTAATGTGTTCGAAAGGAGATGCTGCATCTGTGTGCCCTGGGGGATCTTGTCGAGTGATTGAAGTTCCTCAGCTTGAGGATTGCCTTCAACCTGTAGTTAATATTGTTCCATTGCAGGTATTTTTTGTCATTTGATTTTATATTACACTATGATTATTATTTGGGTTGGAGTCAGCTGCGTTTCTGCTCGTGTCTGACATTAATAATGCTAGGCAGTTTTACATTTTTGAGTATTAATAGGTAGTTCTTCCTCGTAACTTTTCTGTTGTTTGACCTTGAGAATGAGTGAAATGTGTCATTGGTTGGTTGTGATATTTTTCTTTTCCTCCCGTGGTGCAGCTGCTGGCATATCATCTCACTGTTTTAAGAGGTTTCAATGTGGATCAGCCTCGGAATCTTGCGAAGAGTGTGACTACGCAGTAAACAAGTTTCAACTTTGATGGACGTACCTCATATACTCGTTGGTGTGTGCGTTCCTAAATTATGCTGAGAACATCAAGACCTTAGCTGAATGCTGCTAAAAATCACCTTTTGTTTGATGTGTAATATGTAGGTAAAATGTCTGGTGTGATGCTGATGAGGTTGTTGTGAATCTTCAGCTTTGTAAATCAATACAACTAGGAAGGAACAATACTAACACGCCCTGTGTCTCCCTCTTCCTGCGGAGTTTGTTTTCTTCTTTTGATCTTGTATCCGTCATTTCATTTTTAACATCTACATTTGAACATGGAGATATATTTTGTAATAGCGCAATATTATTTGCATTGGACAATATATCTTTTTTTCTTCAACTCTCTCTCTCTCTCTCTCTCTCTCTCACGGATGACGGAGCTCACCATTTTTATTTGCCTGTCATACGTCTGTATATATAAAGCAAAGGCATGACAAATACGTAAAACATCAACTTAATAAAATGTAAATAATTACGAAACAAAAAAAAGTAAGAGCTTATTGGGATGTCAGTGAGCGCCAAATTAAACGAAAAAATATGGCTTATTATCACAAAAGGTCCCTAAGGTTTACGAAACTATCAGATTTCATCCTTAATGTTTTTTTGTGTCATTAGTGGTCCTCAAGGTTAGTATGTATGATCACAAATGGTCCCTGCCGTTAGATTCCGTCAAAAACTCCGTTAGTTTGCTGATGTGGCATATATATATATCACAAAACATCCCTGAGGTTTACACACCTATCACAAATGGTCCCTGCAAATTTTTTAAATTTTTTAAATTTAAAATTCATAACATTTTGGTTTTATTTTTTTAAATTTTTTGAATTTTAAATTATTTTAAAATATATATTGTATTTTAAATACACATGACACTATATTATTTTAGATGTGGGCTCCACATAGATGCCACATCAACAAACTAATGGAGTTTTTAAAAAATAATTTAAAATTCATAAAATTTAAAAATGAAAAAATACTAATTAAACCCCGCCCCAGCCCCAGCCTCAGCCCCAGCCCCCAAAGTGAGGAAGAAGAAGCGAGGCCTAAATTTCACGGAAACACTATGGGTGGTCTTCAGCTATTCGACGGCGGCAGCGACTCCGAAAACGAAATGGAAATGGAAATCGAAAACGAAAACGACGATATTCCACAGATCAAAATCAATGAAGAATACGCTCGCAGGTACGAGCACAACAAGAAGCGGGAGGACCTCCAACGTTACGAGGAGTTGAAGAAGCGAGGCCTTGTAGCCGACCCCTCTCGACAATCAGACTCGGATTCAGAATCCTCGTCCTCCGAGGACGAAGATGACATCCTTTTGGCCAATTCCAAGAAGAAAGACTTGGAGTTTTTGGAAGCTCTAATCAAGGTAAAAAATCGAGACCCTAGCTTGAAAAACAAAGATGTTGAATTGTTTAAATCTGATGGAACCGAAAAGACCCGCGCCAAAGGGGAAGGGAATGGCAAGGCTAAGAAGAAGATGTACTTGAAAGATGTGGTGGCTAAGCATTTGATCGAGGATGGCCCCGAACTTAAGGAGGATGATAATAACACCAAGGTCTACGATGAAGAGCAAGAACACAGAAGGAAAGAATTCTTAAGTGCCGTTGCCGAGGAGGAAGAGGATGATAATGGCGAGTTATTGGTAGAAAAAGATAAGAATGCTGTGGGGGACGATGATGACGATGATAATGTTGTTAATGCTGAGTACGACCAGAAATTGAATGAGTGTTTCCCCGATGAGGATGAAAATGCTAGGTTTCTCAGGGACTTCATCAAGTTTCAGCAATGGAAGGAGGATAAGCGGAGCAAGGGAAGCGGTCCCGAGGTAAATGAGGAGGATTTGGAGATGGTGTCTGAGGACGAGATGGAGATTGAAAGGCAAGAGGAGTACGAGCATAGGTTCCAGGAGAATGCAGGGGATCGGATTTTGGGGCATTCCAGGCAAGTTGAGGGGTCGGTGAGGAAGAAGGTCAAGGCGAGGAAGGAGCAGAGGAAGAGCAAGGAGGATAGGATGGAGATTGCAAGGTTGGAGAGGGAGGAGGAATTGAGGCATTTGAAAAATTTGAAGAAGAAGGAGAACAATGAGAAGCTTAAGAAGATTATGGAGATTGCGGGGATTAAGGAGGGCGAGGTGTCTTCCTTTGATGCCAAGGAGTTGGAGAAGGAATTTAATCCCCAGGAGTATGATAGGATGATGAAGAAGGCTTTTGGTGAGGAGTATTATGAGGCGGAGGATGCTGACTTAGCGTTTGGTAGTGATATGGATGAGGATGGTGGTGAGATTGAGAAACCGGATTTTGATAAGGAGGATGAGTTACTTGGGCTGCCCAAAGGTTGGGATAGTGTCGGGTCCGGTGATGGGTTCTTAGCTGCAAGGGAGAAGGTTTTGAAGCTCAAGAAGGAGAATGTTGGTGACCATGAAGAAGAGGAAGAAGAAGAAGAAGAAGAAGAAGAAGAAGAAGAAGAAGAAGAAGAAGCAGAAGAAGAAGAAGAAGAAGAGACAGTGTCTGAGGAAGGTAAACAAGAGAAAAAGCGTAAACTCTCTTTATTGGAGAGAGCTAAAAAGGAGATGATGGATGAATACTATAAGTTGGATTACGAGGATACAATTGGAGACTTGAAGACTAGATTCAAGTATGCTAAAATAAAACCTAATAGATATGGATTATCTACTGCTGAGATATTAGTGATGGATGAAAAGGAGTTGAATCAATATGTGTCTTTAAAAAAGCTTGCTCCTTATACAGAGAAAGAGTGGAAGGTACCAAACAACAAGAGAAATGAGATAAAACAGAAGGTTAAAGAAATTTTCAAACAAGGAAAGCCAGGTAACAAAAAGAACCGCAAGATGCAGAAAATAAGTGATGCTAAGGATTTGAATTTATCAATGGATGCTGCCGGACAGTCATCAATGGGTGCCCCAGAACATGGGAACAAACAAGTAGTGGACTCAAATGGCGATAAGGGCAACCCATCCAGGAGTGCTAGAAGAAGGCGTAACCAAGCTGCACGAAAGTTACCGGCTTCTAGGCTCATGGCATATGGGTTGATGCCTGTAAAATCTAAGAAAAAAGGAAAGCACTGATCAGAACCTCTAGTTAAAACAGAGCAGTAGACAGGTGATTCTTTCACAAACTTAAGCATTGAGATATATATTTTCATATTCACGTATTATCGTCCCTGTCTCCCTCTCTTGCATGGTATGTTGTACTGATTTAAAGATCTGATGTGGTGGCTGGAAATAAATTGTAAATGTTTGTAGCTTAGATTAAAAGTTAAAACTCAACCTACTAGCGCACTGTTCCTGTTGTAGCGAAATTGCACATTGTAGGTCGGTCATACTTGTCTTTTGGGTAAAGATTATGTAGATAAACAAGTTGATACCAGTTTAGGGATTGAAAGGGCATGTACTATTCTGTGGAACATTCAGTGGGTTTGGGCATTGGAAGGAAGCAATTGCGTAATGGCACTTCGATTTGAATGCATAACGTTGTTACTGTTCCACACTGATGATTTATAAAAAAAATTTAAAGTGGAACACATTGATGAGTTATACTGATGCGGATCAAGGGCATATATAAACTTATGTGTAAGATGCCTCTCCACTTCTGATAAATGATATTGCGTTGCACAAGTTATATTAATTGAAATTGTACCTGTTTTTAATCAGTTTTTACAACTTCCTGTTTGTTAGCTGGGTGAATTGTCAGCCTTAGTTCCATACACTTCTCATTTTATGCCAAAACAATGCCATGTTTTATTTTGTTTTCAAATGTCTACATGTACGTGGGGGTATTTATTCATATCTGAAGCTAGATATTTAGAATTTGCTTTTTTGTTTTCTTTCTTTTCCTCCTGAATTCTAGTTTCATTTCACATTGTTGTTATTTCCTTAAATATTATGGATTTTGGATACTGTTGCTCAATGTCGGATTTCACTTTAAACCATACTTCTTAGCTCATTCGGTTTTAATGTCCACAGGTTGTTTTTTGGTTACTTGTAACATGGGGATGGAGGACTACAATTTTTCCAAAGAAGGTGGAAGCATGTTGTGGGTTTTGTTAAGCTTATAGCAGCATAACCAAGGCGAACACTTGAGAAGAAGTTGGGAGGAAGACTTTTTTGATCGATATTGTCACCTTTTGTTTTCACATTTTATGAAAACATGTACTTTAGGACTCGGAATAAACTAAAATCATATTGTTTTTTGTGTTGTCGAATTAAGCTGTTTATCAATGTCAAAAATATGACAAAGGTCTACTATGTATGATCGTGTTGCTGTCTCTCTTTGGCATTCCAATTCAATCAACTTGTAGGTTTTTCCCTTTTTAATTTTTGGCCGGTCATGAAAATAATTTGGAAGCTGGCTTTGCTTGTCAAGAAGATACTTGAAAAAAGCAACTAAAATTGGTTAGAATTAGAGATTGAAATTTGAAACACACCCCAAAATGAAAAACGCTGTTTTTTGGTATTAGCTAGCTCCAGCCTGCATTCTAACCTCCGAGTTCCAGCACTGTTTAAAACACCAATGACCAAACCCTCCTCCCTGTCACGCTGTCTTTTGTTTCTTTCTTTTTTCTCTCTCAAAACCTTAAACAATCAAAATCAATCAACAAAACAGAAGAAACTCTCTCTTATCTCTCTCTCTCTCTCTCTCTCTCTCACCCCAAAACCAAAACCAAAACCAAAGAAGGCAAAGGAAGAAAGATGGACGGTCCTTGTCCAAAATCCCTCATTTTCCCTCAATTTCCCAAACAATCCCTTAATTTGGAAAGATGGGTTTTGATCCTCTTCCTAGTGGTGGTTGTGGTCCTCCCCTTCCCCACCACGGCCACCGCCGTAAGTTCGTCGTCGAGCATCTACGACCACCTGCGGCAGCAGGGCCTTCCCATGGGGATCCTCCCAAAAGGCATAACGGAATATTCTCTAAACGGCAGCACTGGAGAATTCCGGGTGTTGCTAGCGCAGCCATGCCACGCCAAGTTCGAGAACCAGGTGCTCTACGATTTCAACGTCTCGGGCGTTCTGTCTTTCGGGCGAATCGCCAACTTATCGGGGGTGTCGGCTCAGGAACTGTTCCTGTGGTTTCCAGTGAAGGGGATCAGAGTGGATGTGCCGAGCTCTGGCCTCATTTACTTCGATGTCGGCGTTGTTGACAAGCAGTTCTCTTTGTCCCTCTTCGAGTCACCCCCTGATTGCACCGCCGTTGACCCTTCTGATCCCAACTTCAATCCAGTTGCTCACCACACCGACCACTATTCTCATTCCCCATCTGGGTCGTCGTCTAAGGTATTCTTCTTATATCTGCTACCACTCAATATGAATATGATACGACTGGCTCTCTGTCATTTTTGTGTCATGGGGTTTTGTTGATATCTCATATACATGTAAACTCTCCAATTGTAGTCTTTGCTTTGGTCTCATGTACTCTCAGTCATTTAGGATCAGCACCAAGTTTATGCTTTGTGTAGGTTATTATATGAGCACATTAATGTAGCTTAACATCGTAGGATGGGATCACACTAGCCACCAGCTGCAAATCTATTTAGTTTAAGAGACAATTCAATGATGATGTAATATCTCACCTCCCTAACAAGCTATGCCCGATTTAGCTAAATAAGCTTGATGTGGCATTTTCACAATAGTCTGCGTTTTTTCGGACAAGTTGGGGGCATTATGGCCATGTCTAGGTTAGAAGAATTTTTAAGGAGTGGAGTGGACCACTAGGCACCCTATTACGGTGTAAGAACCTTATGTGCTTGTGCTTTTGGGACAAACTTGATTCGGGGTGTTAAAATATGAGGCACATTCTTCCCTAATAGTCTGTTGAGTTTGATGACAACTCTTTCTTTGTGTTTGTTCATTTGAGTTAAAATCCATTCTAAGATTTTCATTTGTGTGAGACCATTTAATGCATTGTTTATAGATTCTAGTGCTTTGAGTATTTTTACTGTTGCTGGAATTGTTATCTGTCTGTGCCTAGCGTTCACAGATTAATCATCTTCATCGAGTATAAAATAATGTTTGGGTTTGAAGTTATTTTCATATTTATTTTCATCTTGTACCACAGAAAACTAGTATGATAGGAGATTTGCACCAAGAAAAAAAAAAACATTTGATGTTGTTGTGGTTTGGTTTTAAGAGTTTCAACTACGGTCTAGTTGAGGCACTCTATTCATTGTCCGGATTAGTATTTACCTAATCTAGTTTCTTTTTTCCTCGAGTTGAACTTCTTTATGTTGATAATTTGTGTGGTTCAAGACATATCTAATTTCAGTTACTGCGTCCACTGTTGGTAGACAAGATTTATCATGTAATAGTTCTGAGTTGATATGTCTAAATTTATGACATGATTCTTGTTTTTATGGATTTTGGAATTTCAATAGTTATAGTGCTGCTTGATCATTTTCGTGAAGGCTTTTCTTGTCTAATTGAGACGGTGCTAAAGTTAATCGATATAAATTTTGCAGATTGAATCACAGAATCTTGGGGATGAAGTCAGTCAGAAAAGTGAACTGAGGGCTTCTTCATAGGTTGTGCAGGCAGAGATATGGTTCAAGTAATCTCAATCAACCCAGGGGGCTTTTATAGTATTTTAGTTTTCTCCTTTGCCTGAAGTGGATGTGGAAGATTCTGGTATGGGAGGTCCTAAACTTTGAATACGTGTGCTTGTTTACTATACTGTGCGTACATAGTTGGCTTGATACTTCTGTCTTTGCGGGGAAAATTACAACAATTTTGGTAAAGAGGAGAGAGAAAATGGAAGAATGGATATCTACGTTTAGTAGGGTGAGACAGGGAGACAGGGGGATTGGGTCTGGTTGGCTTTTTGGCTAACTAAAATTTGCTTCAAATTTAAGTCAGTTGTTGTCGTCATATAAATTTACTTATAATAGATATAATGTTTCTGTAAATGTGTGAAAACTGATTTTTTTTATTTTTACTGTGATGAGATATGTTGTTAAGAGGGTGTTTTTATGACCGTCGTGATCTGATCTGTTATTACTTTTTTGTTTTTTGTTTCTTTTCGCATATTTCTAAGTTAGGGGTATAACTGGAAATCAAACAAATTTTCTTTCCAATTTGCGCCCACAAATCAAACATGAGCTATTGGGCTATTGCTCTTATCAGTCTGAATTTGGGCTTCAGCTAGCCAAGCGGGCGGTTCATCTTTGTTCATGTCTTCCTTAGTTTGGCCTAAATTAAAATAAACCTACTCAACGCAAGCTCTCGTTTCTCGCTCACACAAGTTGCAGTAGCAGCCATGTCCTCCTCCATAGCTCTCCTCCACCTCTCCGCCACCCCCAAAACCCTAATACCCAAATCTTATGTTTGCTCCTCCTTCCCGTCGTCAACCCTGGCGGCGCCCAGGTCAATCTCTTTCCCTCAACTGGTGAAGCGAAAATCCAAACCCAAATCGAACATCACCTGCATGTCCTCCTACAACAACAACACAACAACACCAACCCCAGCCACGGATCGGTTAATCTCGGCCGTCGCATACACTCTCCCTTTCTTCAACTCCCTCCAGTACGGGCGTTACCTCTTCTTCCAGTTCCCCAAATTGGGGCTTCTCTTCGAGCCCTTAATCCCGTTATTGAGCCTCTACAGGTCGATGCCCTACTCGAGCTTCGTGGCCTTCTTCGCCCTCTATCTGGGAGTGGTCAGAAACCCTAGCTTCAGCCACTATGTGAGGTTCAACGCGATGCAGGCGGTGACCTTGGACGTGCTGTTGGTTCTGCCCCTGCTCATCCAGAGGATATTCAGTCCGGGTCGGGCCGGGTTGGGGTATAAGCTGATGGTTTGGGGGCATAATGGTATTTTCGTATTTAGCGTGTTCTGCTTTGTGTATAGTGTGGTGAGTTCCATTTTGGGTCGTACTCCCTACTTGCCCTTTGTTGCTGATGCCGCTGCCAGGCAGCTCTAAACTTGTGACACTCATCCGCCATCCGCCATCCGCAAGCCTTTGTTGGTTTATAATTTCATTTCATAATTTTAGCTGCTCAATTCAATTGTAGAACCGCTTTTCAATTACTATCTCACCACCTGTTTCCGGTAAATTAAGGTCAAACGATTGATGTTTCTGTGTATGTTATGTATGTGACCAGGAGAGCAAAAAAGAGAGAGATCATCATTGATAATTTTTTGCATTTTACTGTTTTATAATTGAATTTTCGTATTTTATGGTTTCCCAAATGAATTTTCGCATTTATTCACTCATGTATTTTTGCATTTTTGGGTTTCACTTGTGAATATTTGCATTTTGTGGTTTTACTAATGAATTTTTACAATCTTTGGTTTCATGAATAAATTTTCCCATTTTAGGATTTTGTTAATGTTTTTCGTATCTCAGGGTCTCATCGATATTTTTTAGATTTCATGAATGAATTTTGGCATTTTAGGGTTTCACTAATGAATTTTTTCATTTTGGGGTTCGCCAAATGAATTTTTGCACTTTGGGGTTTCTGTAATGGGTTTTTGAATTTTGATGTTTGATATTCATTCATGAAACTCCAAATAAATTTTTGAATTTCGGGGTTTTGCTATTGAATTTTCTCATTTTTAACATTTCACCAGTTGAATTTTCTAAAATTGGGGTTTCGCTAATGAATTTTTGCACTTTAGAGTTTCGCACTTCGCACTTCGAGGTTTCCATAATGCGAATTTTGATGTTTGAAATGCAAAAATCTATTAATGAAAGCCCGAAATATAAAAATTCCTAATTGAAACCCAATAATGTGAAAATTTAATCATGAAATCCAAAAATGTGAAACTTAATGAGAGAAACCTTAAAATGCAAAAGACCATTACCGAAATCTTGAAATGGGAAAACTCACTCATGAAATCTCAAAATGCAAAAATTCATTATTGAAATCCCAAATGCAAATATTCCGGGTACCCCAAATAATTTTTTGCATTTGAGGGTTTCGCTAATTAATTTTCTCATTTTAAGGTTTCACCAAATGAATTTTCTCATTTTGGAGTTTCACTAATTCGTATTTTAGGGTTTCATCAAAGGAATTTTCACACTGTGGTTTCCGTAATGGATTTTCGAATTTTGATGTTTGAAATATGAAAATTCAATCACGAAACCCCTAAATGTGAAACTTCATCAGCGAAACTTTGGAATGCAAAAGTTTATTACCGAAACTTTGAAATGCGAAAATTCATTCATGAAATCCCAAAATGCGAAAATTCATTATCTAAATCCTAAATGTGAAAATTCATTCATGAAACCACAAATAATTTTTTGCATTTTAGGGTTTCGCTAATGAATTTTCGCATGTGAAGTTTTCACCAAATGAAATTTCTCATTTTGAGGTTTCAATAATGAATTTTTGCATTATAGTGTTTCGCCAATTGAATTTTCGCACCTTGAGGTTTCCTAATGGATTTTCGAATTTTGAGGCTAGAAATGTGAAAATTCATTATCGAAACCTTGAAATGTGAAAATTCATTCATAAAATCCCAAAGTGTGAAAATTCATTATCGAAAGCCCAAGTGCAAATATTCATTCATGATATGCCAAATAATTTTTTGCATTTTGAGGTTTCGCTAATGAATTTTCTCATTTAGGGTTTCACAAAATGAAATTTCTCTTTCTGGGGTAACGCTAAATGAATTTTTGCACTATAGGGTTTCCGTAATGGATTTTCAAATTTTGATGTTTGAAATGCGAAAATTCATTTCCAAAACCCCAAAATACGAAATTTCATTACTGAAAACTCCATAATGCGAAAATCTAATCATGAAACTCCAAAATGTGAAACTTCATTAGCGAAACCCCAAAATTAGGGGTGTGCAAGATCCAATCCAATTTTGATTGATTTAAATGATTTGGCTTATTACATTAGATTCCTAATTTCCAAAACTGACATGATTAGATCGGATGGGGAATTTGCTTGTGAGAATCCTGTCAACTCCAATTTTACTTAGTTTCATGTTTATTTTCATATTTTGGAGTTTCAATAATGAATTTTCCCATTTCAGATTGCCCCAAATGCAAAAATTCATTCATGAAACCGAAAAGTGTGAAAATTCATTTATTCGCATTTGGGGTTCTTCCATCCATTCCTTCGTTCATTTTAGTCATTTAATACCTTGAGAATTTAGATTTGGCAGAACAATGCTTTTCCAAATTTTAGGGACAGTTTGTTGTGTCATCGAGAGAGAGCTCTAAGCCAGTGAGAGCTTTTCTCTTCTGTTTTTCGGCCTGAAATTATTTGGAGTAATTCACCAAATTCTTTCACCTTCGAATTTCTATAATTTTAATTCAGAAGAATTCACATCCGTTCCGTTCTGAATCCCATATAATACTTTTAATTTTGCGTACTTAATTCTGTTTCATTTCTTGCTTGCCTGCCAGGACCACAAGATTTCATTATTTCCTTTGGCTACATTCTCTCTCACTCAAACCAAGACATTATTGTAAATTTACTAAAATAGTCACACAAAAGTAGTATCCCAAAATGAGAAAAAACAAACACAATTACCAATTGCATAACTCTTGATTCAAAAAAAAAATGTTGACAGTTACATGTGTTGGTCAATTACATTGCATCATGGGGTCTGCGAGACCGCATAATTATGGGGTCAATTGAATTTTCTCAACTGCAAGACGGGCCATAGCCGCTCACTCCGGAAAGCACATAACATGTAAAACAGATGGAGAGCAACAATCTCACAGCAATCATTTTAAAACCTCACAATAACTAGCACTCCCACCAAATGCACACGACCACCGAGATAAATGAAACCAAATCACATACTGCACAAGATTACTTTGGCAGCGACAAACTTCCCTCTTCCTAAAATTCTTGAACAGCTTTTGTCCTCTTCAACGCAAGGATTGACGCTAATGATGAGTTAAGGTTCAGGTTCAGCCCCCAGAACCCTTTCCCACCTCACTCCATATCGATGGATTGAACTAAATGATTTACGTCTTAAATTGAAGTCGAATTTCAAGATAGCAAGGGTAACTACTTCAATTACAGCCACTCTTCGATGGCCAAAAATTACATCCAAATTTGAAGCAAAATGCAAATACCATCTTAAAACAGAGTAAAACATACCTCTCAAACATACCTCTTAAACACGAAGTTGAGAAAAACTAAGCAGCAGTCCTTACATCCATCACAGGTCAAACAGCTCAACTCCAGAAAAGAAACAATATCGAAAAAGAAACACATAAAATCATCTTGGTACACGAGTTTTAAAACTGACCTAGACAAGAACACAAATTATGCTTTTGCCACATGCTCCATAGCAAGGATGACCTAGTACCGATCATAACGCCTGCAAGAACAAATTATTATATCAGGTGATCATCAACTAAAAAGAATCCAAATTAGCATATACATATGACTTGATCACAATCACACATACAAGACCAGGCAAAATCAGCAAATTAACAAAATCCCTATGATAAGCATTTACAAAATATCACCCAAAAAAATAGACATGTTATGGTTAGCTACATAAGCTTGTAAGATGGCCACAGTAATATGACAAGCTTCAAATTCACGGCCATCTCACAGAAAACAAGGACTGCCACATGGCTTGTGGTCAATAAAAGGTAGCAACTCTCTTGACAGATGTGGACAATGACAAAACGGGAAAGAATTTCCAAAGGTTGAAAAGAAGCCACAAAATTTTGAAAGCAATGCTTCAAACTATCCAGTACAAGGTAAGCAAGGCACTCACACAGCTACAATTATAGGCTTCGACTAGAAAACACATTAGGTCTATTTCAAAGTAAAAAGAAGCTGATGATTATTTTTTCATAAAATTGCAAACACAGACAATTATTTTCTAAATTAGCTCTAAATGAACTTTCATGTGCGCTTTTTTATGAGGATGCTGAGAACAGAATTATTTCATGGAAACAGAACCAGACTGGCACTTAAATCATTGCATGATCTTGAAACATTTGAAAAATGTTATTGAAATCATTGCACATAGTTACTTTAATCCTTGATCAAACAAAAGGAAGCATGCATGCCAAATGAACAGATACTTTCAAAAATGGCCACCATGGAAGTTTACACACCTGTGGCGATCATAATCCCTGGAACGCTCCCTTGATCGTGAGCGTGACCTACGGCGACTTCTCGAATCATAATTGCGGGAGCGATCTGAATCTCTGTCACGCTCGCGATCATATCCGCGATCTCGATCATAATACCTATCACGATCTCTGCTCCTACGATCATGATCCCTACCTCGGTCTCGGCTATCTCCTCGTTCTCTATCCCTACTTGATTCCCTGTCGCGTTCCTTACTTCGCTCTTTTGATCTACATGGAAAATAATTAAAGAATAAAGATTTATATTTTATAGAAGCTTCTTGTAAAGGGTACATTTTGGAAAGAACTTTTATTTCTTTAATTAAAAAAAAGAACATTAAGAGTTACCTCCTATCCTCAGACCGATCAACCTTGCGAATCTTGTTTCTCTCTTCCTGAAAATTGAATAACCAAAAAAGTACAATTGACACCCCTTTTGTTAATAGGATGACATGAAATAACAAATCACTTGATGGAGAGAGATAACATGTCCTGCTTTAGAGGTACATAATTGGTAAGCAACATATAAGCAAAGCATCATAGCAAGTGAAGATGCTCACTAATATAGTCAATTTGTAGAATCAATAAAGGGTTGAGATAAGAATATCACTTGGACAACCATCAACCTCCCTTTTTCCAAAGTTAAGAAATCTTACTTCATTTTATTATTATAATAAATGCAAAATCTACATGGTGACTACAACCAAATGGGTGTATACATTTCATTCTCATAAGTACACAAGCTATGATCCCAACCTAAGCGAAAAATGAAAAAAGATGTTCGAAAAATTATACTCACAGATACCATATTATGAGAATCTCTATAGATTTGAAACACTACCAGAGCACCTGAACCAACAGTTTCAGAATACGAACTTAAAACAATTCAGACTTTCCAGGTAAAATTGTAATACTTTGATAATATATTTTCAGACACACTTTGCCTAAAATGCTGGAAACACATTTTTCAAAACAATGTCCATTAGTGTACAAAAGTTAGTGTTCATCTGCCCATTTTTTACCCCCAACGGAAATATATTTATGAAACAAGCCCAAGCGAAGTATATACCATTACAAAGGAGCATCATACCTGCAGCTCTGCTAACTTCTCACGGATTTGCATATAGCCTAAATGAAGCTTCCCGCCAAAGTGATCCGCTAAACGACGGTCACTGAAAACAACGAAAAGAATCAGAATATTTCATTCAATTCAAACATGCAAAAGCCCAAACAGGATTTGTTCATGTACGGTACAGATTCCACATAATTTTTCTAGCCAACAATAGCATGATCTACAAACATAAAACAGAAAAAGACGCACATTCTGTAGCTGCAAAAGTTATCCTCGTAAAACTGGGCACAAGAGCCTGCTGGTGACAAGGAGGTATAATCGTTGGGTCAAAAGCTGAAGCACTTGAAACCCCAAATACTAATTTTATGTATACCCAGAAAAGCTAGAAACTAGAGTAGCAAGCATAATTATTCAAAATCAAACTTTACCTGTCATAAACACTCAAAAATGCTCCACAGATGTCACAAACACGTAGCTTTTGATCAGTCTGAAACAACACCATAATTTACAAGTTAACGGTCGCTCAGAAGTGAAATGAATAAGCAAATAGTTGGACCCTATCACAGGAAATTCTTGCAAGAGTATCAAACATTATCATGGGCTTTTCATCATTTCTTTATTCTACATACAATCTGAAAGTAACACTTGCGTGAAAATGCACACCTAGATGTAGACAATCCATTCAATTTTAATGTTTAGACAACAAAGAGGACAACAAGAAGTTTACAAGTGTAACTCTGAGATTACATGAAAATCAATATCCCACTTCTTCTAACCATAAAGTGTTGGGACAACAACTATGAGTACTTTCTATGTGAGAATGTAAGTGTTGTGAAGTAGATTCTTTTGTTGTTACCAATAAATAGATAGATGGAGGAAAAATGAACTCACAATTCGCACATCAGCAGCAGTGTACTTGGAGGAATCCAGGATAGGCTCCTGTCTGGCAGGCAGCTAAAGAGAAGAAATGAACAGTCACTCACCAATCATTGACAAGAAAAACAAAAAAGCATAGCAAATGCAAAACTCAGAACAAAAAGGATATTAAAAAAGGTTGCAGAACAGGTGAACCACTTAATACAAAACAATATTATTTTATTTAAGAGTACCTTCTTCAGTGCTTCAGCCTCTTCCAGCGCCTTTTGTGCCTCATCAACCATTCCTTGCTCACCTGAAGATGGCAAAGAACTTTAGCGACCATACGTAACCTGATTTCTAGAAAAACAGAAAACTAGCCCAATATACACACAGAGCATTAATTAGTAAGGTATACACTCACCAAGGTCCTCTGCCTTCTTCAACTTTTCATTTATCATTTCCTGTGTTCGGGCATCGGGAACAACTACAGGCAAGGGTGCCAAAGGTGGCGGGTTTGGCAGGGGTTGAGGTAAGGATGCCCTATCCTTATTGAAAGCATCCAAAAGAAGCATCGACTAAAACAAAATAAAAGTATATGTTAGAGAGCTGACAAACTTGTCAACAAGTCATCCAGATCAAGGAATAATACACTGGAACAGCAAGAAATATTTCAGTTTGTACATATACAAATGAATTTCTCAACAAGTAGATATTTGGTACCTGTTTATCTGCTCTCTTGCCTCTGAGTTCGTCTACTATCTCCATAGCCCGAATCTTAAGATCTGTCTTGCCTTCAAGATCTGCAAATTTACATCAACAATTTGAATCAGAAAATAGATTTCTAGGTGCATATTCAAGAATTGATAATTTACAAGCAACTGAATAATATATATACATATAAGAAAACAAAAGGTTTGACCATTTTAAGAACAGCAGCCACAATATAAGACCATGCATGAACAGTGGAAACACAGTACAAATGTCAAACGTTAAGTGTATATATATTAGTGATTCATCAACTTTAGTGCATTAACCAAACTTAGAAGAAAAAAAAAGAGATAAGCATCTGTGTATTGTTAACACACACGGACACACAAAATCCAAGCAAACCAAAGAGAAGGCAAGTTCTGTTTTGAAAATAGCAATTAGATAAAGGTTACCAAATTGATCAAGATAAGCATCTGTGTATTGTTAACACACGCACACACAAAATCCAAGCAAACCAAAGAGAAGGCAAGTTCTGTTTTGAAAATAGCAATTAGATAAAGGTTACCAAATTGATCAACTTCTTTCAACTTTTCCTTGATCTGCTTTGACAACTCGAGTACCTCTGGCGTCTGGAATTGCACAAGAATCAATAAATAGGTAACCACGTGATTTTTTACCTATAAAGAAAAAAAAAAGGATAGATTGAATGATCCATTACCTGAGTAACTTCAGAGACAGAAATTGCAATAGCAGCCTTTGCATCATCATCCTCAAGGCGCTTAAGAGCTCTAGCAATTTTCCTATCACACTCAACAATGAGCCTATCTATGACATCCTCCAGGTCTCTGTCATAGTTATCAGTCCCCTTTGCTTTGGCTTCTTCGTATCTGGAAAGAGTTAAGCTTTACTGGTATTGAATTATATCAGCAAGCATGTATATAAATAAGAAAATTTCATCTCAGCCTTCAAATGTACATTCATTTCAAAGACAATTGAAGCAAGCAATAGTTGAAAAGGATACTCTTTTCTGAGCTGCAACGAGTGGACCTTAGGACAGGGACCCATATCCATTTTCTGAAAACACAAAAGTAAAAATGTCATCTAGGTTCAAGATTATGGCAAAAGACCTAGTTTTAATTTATTTTCCTCTCGGGAACCAACTTTTAATGAAAAGAAGTGAAGGGCTTTGATTTACCGTTAACTGGAAAAGCTCGTGGGGGCAGAGCCCGACCAAGTAGAGGCGACACACTTCGCGATCGTAATATTTGCGGTTGACCTCTCGGACGTCGCCGTTTCGATTGGCCCCCATAAGCTGGTCCAGCTGCTTCCTCAGCGCGTCCATGGCTGATCACTCCCCTCTAGTCGTCTCTACAACTTTGGAGTGGTGGATTTCAGTTGGCTCGCTGAGCGAGAAAGAGATTAGGGTTCGTTAGGGATTTAGAGAGTTTTGGGGAAAACAAAAAATAAAAGAGGATTTGGGATTGTGTTTGTTTGTGAGATTGTGCTCACTCACTGTATTTAATTTTAATAATATATTTATTTTGCTCATATGCCCTCGTGGGTTTATACATTTGCAGGCCGGCCCGGGCCCATTACGATTTCACTTTTGGGCCCATTATCGTTCTCGAGTCCTCACTCTCTTCGATCTCTACAACTTTGGAGTGGTGGATTTCAGTTGGCTCGCTGAGCGAGAAAGAGATTAGGGTTCGTTACGGATTTAGAGAGTTTTGGGGAAAACAAAAAATAAAAGAGGATTTGGATTGTGTTTGTTTGTGAGATTGTGCTCACTCACTGTATTTAATTTTAATAATATATTTGTTTTGCTCATATGCCCTCGTGGGTTTATACATTTGCAGGCCGGCCCGGGCCCATTACGATTTCACTTTTGGGCCCATTATCGTTCTCGAGTCCTCACTCTCTTCGATCAATCCTCTCATAAAAGGTCACAGACTGAAACTGAAACTGAAACTCAAATTCAATGGCTCCCTCTTTCTCTCGCTTGCTGTTGGTATTGGGATTCTCCGCCTTGTTGTGCATTTCAGTAGCAGCAGCTTTCCAATCCGATGAGCTCTTATTGGACGACGACGAGTTCGGTCTAGAAGGAGGGTTGCACACTAAGTCTCCTGATCTCACATATACACGATCCTCGCCTCCGCCACCATCAACACCAACTTCATCAACCTCCCGGAAGAGGTTTTCCGATCCGGATTCGGACTCTAAGATCCAATTCCAGCTCCATCACGCCTTTGGGGACTCTGATTTCTCTCCCGCTGGTACTTTCAGTGCTCGCTTGAAGACATGGAATCACGGTGGTCAGGTTGGTTGCTTTCTTCTCTTCTTCTTTTATCCTTCTAATTTTGGTGCGAAGCTGCAATTTCATGTTTTGCAGTGGGTTTTGTTGTCATTTAAATGGGTTATTGGTGATTCTTGAGATTGGAATTCACAATTTTGAACTGGATTTGTTTGTCTTTTAGACCGGCTTCTTAAAAAAATTAGGTGAAAAGAAAGGAATATATAGTTGATAAATTCGTAGGGGTAAGACAATGGATGCGAGTGCATGATGATGAGCTTAGGGAGTTTACTTAAGACTATATACTTGTACCTTTTAGTGGAGCATCGTTTCATGCTTAGTTTTGTCTACTTGCAAACTCTCGGGCCTTATATTTCACTCTGTAATACTAGAAAATCTAAGATGCAGTGCAGTTTAACTATGACATGGTTTTATTGATCACAGACCCTTACAAAGCTACGATTTTCGAGGAATTCTTTTACTGAAGAGGAGAAGGAGAAGTTTGCAGTAAGTTCTTCCCCCTCTAAACTTATGTGGGTTTTTTCTGCTTTTACCATTTCAAATTAGCATTATTTCTTAATTTTAAATGTTGATGCTGTTCTTGTAGCTACTACTGAAGGGAGATGACTTCTATAGGATAAGATTGCCGTCCAGTGTTTTGAATCCTCCTGGGAGGGATTATGTTATTTCTTCAGTAAAAGCGGCAAGTCTTACGCACCCTCTATCATGTAGTTTTATGGTTCCAACACAAATATGATCACTAAGGCTACAGGTTTACTAACAATCTTTCTTAAATATCCAGAGATGTCTTCCACGGGATGGTTTGGATGAGCATTTTGTTATACACACGGTAACTTTCAACTTTCTAAGCTCTTGCTGTTGTTTTCCCATGGTTTTTATGATCTTTCGGACTATATACCTATTTTTACTGTTCAATGAGACATATTTTTGTAGCTTTACAATCATCAAGTCTTATGCAATTTATTCTTGTTCAAATTTGTATTACAGGATGGAATTAATATCTTGGCAGTTAATTATGGTTCGCCTGGGGCATGTCCATATCCTCGGCAAATGAAACTTGTAAGTCAGGATCGGTTTTTTTTTTCTCTCTGGTTTTTATTGTCAATGGACTTAAGATGAGTAGATATATGGCAACTATTTTTTTTGTGTGTGTGAATAAAAGTAGAGGCTTTCTGAGGATGGAAAAGAAAGTTGTGTTGAATAAGCTGACCTTGTTCCAATGCCTTTTTTCTTTTTTGGTATTTTCAGCCTGGAAAGTGGTCTTTTAACTCTCACACGGTTTTGAAGAATAGTGAGCAAGCACCAAGGTGAAATGCTTTTGCGTTTTTTCTTTCTTCATTATATGTTGAGATACTGGCATGATCTGGGTGCTTAAACTCTCACGGATGGTTAATTATTTCATACTTCTCAACTTTGTTAATAGAAAAAGGTGAACCTGATTATCTAAAAGAGTACCCTGTGCGTTTATATCAGTTGTATTTTCTTTTAATATTAATTTTCCATGGTTGATAGAAATGTAGATACAAAATTGGCATTTGATCTGGTTGATCTGCATTATTTATTAGGTGATGTGCAGGGTATTAGTAATCAATGGAATGACCTAACTGTGTTATGTTAAATGCTGATACTATCTACAGTCTTACATTACGCTGATCATTGAAGGTCTTTGTGAAGGCCCTATAAGTTAATATCTTATGACAAAATGTTTTCACAGAGCTCCAGTGTTTGCTGAGGAGATTCTTGGAGGTGAGTTAGGAGAAGGTGAAGTTGTACCGCCACCAGAAAGGTCCCTTTGGGCTAAATATGTGAGTATGAACAGAATTAATCGCCTCCATCTCTCCCTCGCATAGATTTATTTTATTGATTTACCTTACTGAGTTATTATGTACCAGTGGATGTACCTAATCCCGCTTGGGCTCATTGTCATGAATGCCGTAACCCAAGCAATGAACATGGCAGAGGAACCGGGTGCTGGTCAGCCAGCAGGCCAAGCACAGCAGCCAGCTGCAGTCCAGCGTGGGTCAAGTTCTGCTGTGCGAAGAAGATAGTCTGTTTGCTCATTTTTCTCTTCAAAGATTTGACGTCACCTGAAATGAATGACATTTTAGGTTTGACCTTTTCGTTGTATCTTTAATCCCATGGGGACCTTCATGAGGGTTGTAAATTTTTAGTGATTTTGTTATATTTTCAGTAGGGAATGTAAGGTTGAATTGATGAAGGCTTCAGGATTAGCATTTATAAAGAATTTTGCATGTATTTATAAAGGATTTTGCAGCAGTTGCAAAATAAAGAAACAAATTCCACAAATGACGGCATTGCGAGGCGCCGTGGAGAGTATCATTATCAACTGCAACCAGTTTTGGAAGCTGCATGAATTGGTATGATGTGCATCTCTACGACTAACAGATGCTAATTCATGTAAGTCCTGTCCAACTTGGCAGATGAGACCAACCGGAAACAAGGCTATGAACCAACCAAAATTAATGTATATAATCCAAACAGAAAATTATACCAAGCGTTACTAATGCCAGGCTTGATTTTTTATGTATGTAGCAGGGTTGATTTTTTAAAGCAGAGTTTGAACTTCGGCAGCTACAAAAAAGATAGAACGAAACCAGAAAAACAAAAAAGCCAGGCTTTGTTTGTTGGTAAAGCAGGCGTAGCTGCTACTTCTTCAAGGAATACTCGTTAAAATTACAGAGGAAGGAAGCTAATACTTTATGCAAAAATACTTTGAGAAATAAAGCTATGCGAACAAGGACATCCAAATAAAACATCTCCGGATCTCTTGACAACACGACAGAGGCCAGAGACCCAATCATAGCTCGTCCTGCAAGGGCAAATCAATAAATTACAGAATTAATTAGAAAAAGGCAATCTAATCTTTACTGTAATAAGTAGGTGCGCTTAATTTAACGACAGATCATAGAACATTGAATGATGCTTACATGACCATAATCATCCCAATCACGGTGGCGGTTCTGCAGAATAAAACATCCTAGTTAGAAGTAGGCCAGAAAACAAAAACATTAATTCAAGTTACAACTTAATTACTGAATCTACGTCAATTGGCCAGCGGCTACAAAATTCCACAGAAACTGTCCAATTAATTGATCACCTTCCTACTTATTTGCAAGGGTCAAAGGTCTCAAATAGGCTTTTACTTCAGAAATAGCCACAACAGGAGGAAATCATCCCAATTTCATTGGAAATGAAGAAAAGAGGATACCAAGAAGTATTTCTCAACTCTCATTTGGTTGGAAGGAAGTGAAACAGCTTTTGGTTGGACGCTGCATACTCATGAGGGGTTTTTTTTTTTTTTTTTTTTTAATTAAGAATTAATTGATCACCTTCCTACTTATTTGCAAGGGTCAAAGGTCTCAAATAGGCTTTTACTTCAGAAATAGCCACAACAGGAGGAAATCATCCCAATTTCATTGGAAATGAAGAAAAGAGGATACCAAGAAGTATTTCTCAACTCTCATTTGGTTGGAAGGAAGTGAAACAGCTTTTGGTTGGACGCTGCATACTCATGAGGGGTTTTTTTTTTATTTTTTTTTATTAAGGGGGAGGGGGTATTTGAACTGGGGCCTATTCCAATGAGAGAGATACTATGGTCATTAGCTAGAAAACATAACAAGGACACTGCCTACCATTAGACCAAGAGCTAGTTGGTTAGGTATAAGGGATTTGAGTGACCTTTATTGCAAAGGTGATCATAGAAAAAACCTATATTAGATGAAAGTTGAAACAATTAATGCAAAATATTCAAACACACCCTTCGGTATCTGTCTCTGTGTCTGTCTCGACGTCGATCGTAACCCCTTTCTCGTCTCCTCCTTTCACCCTCCTCTCTCGCTCTTTGAGCTTCCTGCACAATAAGGGCTCAAACTACTTATGAATGAAACTCAACTAAGCCTGACGGAAAATTCTAATAAACCAGTTATTACGCTCACGAACCTCTTCCTCTTGTGCTTTCCTCCTTTTTTCTGCTTCTTCAAAGGCATCCTTTTCAGCCTGAGACGCCATAAGTGAAGTGCATAAGATGAACTGCCAATGAACTTGGAAATACCAGTGACAGTCAAAAGAGGCTTACCTCTCTATTGGTAAAGACTTCCTCGACAACTTGTTTGGCATACTCAGGATCATCACAAATTAAAATGTTGTCAAAAACTGAACCAGCCTTTACCTGCATCACATTATTTTACCCCATTAACATAATGAATTAGTGATCATGCCATCCTTAAATTCGCAAATGGATAATGTCCTACCTGCCAAACTTCGACACCCACGTACTTAATTGGCTTAAGCACATAAAGATCAGGGTCATCTTCAAACTCTGCATAGGATGAGATAAAGAAAACTTAGCATGTTTTATTTTTCCAAGATCTGCACATGCAATTATCTCTATTGATATAGACAGAGCAAGTATAGCTATCCAATCAAAGTTACCAGGATTATCAATCCAAGGAGTCTTCCATTTCCCTTTATAATTGGGGTTCTTGATTTTCTGACATGCCAGAAGAAGTTACGCTAATTAGAAACTGCAAAAAAGAATTGGCCTTCGGTTTTATCTGTTACCACTAAAAGTAATTAACCTACGGTACCTACCTTGGGTTTCCATGGTCCTTTATAAGCTGGATTTGGTATCTTTGGAGCTTTCCATAAACCGTTCTCTTCTTCATCCCAGTCATCGGGCTAATTAGAAGGGGAAAACAAACAAATTATTGATTAAATTTATCATCTTTACATAAATATGTACTCATCAAACCGCAAGAAAACAGCACTAAAAGTCAAACTAGAGAAAGGGAAGATAGTATTGGAGAACAGAGTAGCCTTTTGATGGTTCAATTACACAATGAAGGGTCTAATAGTTGTCCAACATCAGAAAGACCAAACAGATGTTAGATACGCAGCTTTGTTTATAGTACTACTCCATAAGCAATTAGCTAACCTCTTTAGCTTTTGGATCTGAAATTTCTCTTGGAATTGAATCATATCCCTGAAATACCAGGATGCGCATCAACAGTATGTAACACATGATACATTCACTACAAAGATAAGTCCCAGAGACGAGCATTAGGGAAAGAAGAAAAATAAAGTTCCCATACCTCAGGTTTGACGCTATCAGGATCATCAATGTATTCTCTAAGATCCCAGTCTGCTGGCTATGAGAGAGAAAACCATACTTATAAGATAAAGGAAAAAATTGTAGAGATTCAAATTTATAACCTACTCTCTAAGAAAAAGGTCGTTCACAGATTTGCTGAGCTTTGAAAACATTATCATAGTGTAGTCATAAAATACTAATGAATATGTAGTGAGTATTTAAGTACTTGATAGAACCGATTTTTGCATCAACGCTTATAATCTACCTTCTTTGCATTAACATCTTTAATCTTTCTTGGAGGAAGAATATCCCAGTCTGTGTACATGCTTCCGGAGTCCCTTTCTCTGTTGTCAACTAGGACACTATACGTTGCATCAGGCCTAAGAATGAATGTGTAAAAATGAGTCAACTTGTCGGTTTCACACTGTAAATCCTTCTTGATGGGGTAATTCTGGCCTTGGTAAGAGAGTATAACATGGAGCTTCTTTGTATCCGTGCCACATATATCTGGTCCAAACATTAAACTACACAAAGAAAGTTCAGCATTAATTAAACAAGGATGAACATCTACAACAGGAAACAGGAGATGAGGAGAAAACCATAGATAAAATTAACAAATGAACAGTTTCCGTTTAAGGAATCATTGCTGGTTGAAGAGAAGCTCAAAACTGCGACATTGTTGAGGATTGAGAATTCTAACCTGTATGGAGTGTCCCCACTGAATTTCTTCTGATTAACAAATCCAGACATAAGCTTTATGTAACCCCCACCACATTCAATTTCCTGCTCAAACCGTACAGAGTATTGGAGGACCAACGTCCTGTTCTTGTTGCTGAACTCTGGTATCTTTGCAGATATGGCAAAATGTTTGGCATCATTTGATGTCTGAATTCCTGCAAGATTTCACATACCATCATAAAACCAGAAGTTTAACTACCTTGACTGTTGTCGAGTACTAATGCTGCTGCAATTCATTACATTAGGAAAGAAATGCGTTTACTTTTCACAAACCTTCAACCCTAAATTCTATTTCAAGGAAGAAAAGGTGACATGATAAATAACATTGAATTGGTCAAGGGTTTTCCAACAATTCTAAAACACATAAGAGACCAACTTGTATATATATGCAGTGCAGGACTTTACAACATAGCATAGCAGTGAAATTCATCAATCAAATTGAAGGATACATACATATATATATATATATAATAGCAGCAATGTTAAGTGAGAGAAGATATACCTTTATCTTCTGGGTCTCCAGACCACTTTCCAGCTGTGTGTTTAAAGTAACCCGCTTTGCCTTCACTGCTTTTCCAGTCGGATTCAACCCAACGTCTTTGCCACCCCTCTAACTCAAACAAATCAACAAAATAAAGATTAAAACTTAAACACTGTCAAAGCTTTGCTTTTCACACATTTTCTTTGACAGAAAACAAGCAACTCTGCATTCTCAACCAAAAACGAAAATGAAAACTTGACTAATTTTCCTTTTTCTGGTAACAATTATAGATTTTTTCTCAGAGGAGCAAGTAAAAATGGGAAATGCAAGTCAGTGATATACTAAGCATAAAAGGATTGAATTAAGTAAAGTAAAATTGAAGCGATGGAAGGAGAAAGAAGCAAGTAAGATAAAGATACCGTCAAAACGCTCTTCGAAAATGATCTCTGAAAGCGAAGAACGAAAGCAAAAAGAAAGCCAGGAGAGTGGTATTATTGTTACTAGCAAAAACAGGTGCTGATGACTAGGAGTAACGAGGCATGGCAGCTTCGCCATTTCAATTCAATTCGTCCAAGAAAGTGTTTGTCTTGTGGCTTACTTATACTAGTGGAAGCAGAAGGTTGCCCAAGAATTCTACTTTAATTTCGACGATGCCCTTGGAAAATGCATAAAAATGTTGACGTTGATGTTCATGTTATCTCTCTCCCACTGGCACTGACTGGGCACTGCCGTTGTGTTCGGGTATCCTTCTTTGTTTCTTGTCTGTTTTTAAAATTTTAAAGTTTAATTAAGAATTGAATAGTGTTTCCCCGTCAAATGGGAAAGAGGAAGATTATGTTGACTTTGAAAATTGAACCCAAACCAACCAATCACAGATGAATGAAACGTTGCATAACCCAATCAAAAGTGTGCGAGTCAAGTCAATGGGG